GCGGCTTACCGGCCTCTTACTTCGGTGCCACACCCTTTCAGGGATATCAAGGCGATTTTACCAGGTATTATAAACATTTTGATGAGTAGAAAAGTATGCCTTCCTTCCAGCTATATGACCAATCCTGGATCGTGGTATGGAGGCGGCGATCCTCGATTTGCTGCTTGTAAGTTTGAACGTAGGGTGCAAGGCAAATGTATTAGTTTACGATTACAGTACTCCCCTGCGGAATCGATCCATCACGAGCCGCAGTGCATGGCATACAATTACCGATGTCTCAACGAAGGAAAAGAAGAGTTCTTTTCAGTCAAGCGCAGGTCACCTCCACAACTCGGTCGCAGTGGATACCTCTCATCTTTGCGTTTAGGTTTACGAACTAGAACGGCGCTTCAAACAGGCAAAATACCTGACAGCTCCCGAACGTGAGCAGTTGGCAAACTCAATTCACCTCACTCCAACACAGGTATGATTACTGTAATTGTTTACCAATTGCTCTTCCCCAATCTTTGTTAGGCCGCAGTAAAGTGATACACTACAAATTACTTCGTATTATCACTGTACATATAGCGAGGAAAAATGTCAACTCTAAACCAAAGATGTTCTGCATCTAAAGATTTGCGATAAAGCAGGCAAAGTACAATCGCTTTGTCTGTTCGCATATGTCAACTTAGATTCTCAAAACAAAACGAATCACCTATATTACTGCAGGATTACGGTCACCACTCAAAAGTGTTCTAAGCCAATGAGAGCCAAAACCTACTCCAAAAAAATCCGACAGGGAACTTTGTTATCACGTTTCAATTAGCATAGCAGCCTCTATATCTGAGCTTTTTGACCTTATCAGTATGAAAGTCACAAGAGGTGTAACTTTACAGCAATTTATTGTTAGCGATTTTTAAAAATCAGATTATATTTAAAATTGCTCTATAAACTTATGAAGTTATTCACTAAAATCAGCGTGTTTAATCTCACCATGAGTGCTTGCAATTTTCAAAAATAGCATTCGTTGCAATGAAGACATTGTGCTGGAAGTTCCTACCGTAATCTCTAATTAAAAGCGATGGGTGACTCGTTTTGTGGGGTAAATCTATGTGAATCCAGCCCTACAGTGTGCTACCTAAAGATCCGCTAACGAAGATGGAAAGAAGAGTAGAGCGATCAAACATTTGTAATATTGCAAGACCCATTACCTGAAAATAGCATAGTTGAAACGTCGTCTAAAACTTGCTCTTTTTTCTTATTCATACGATAGTATTTAGGTCAAGATATGGTTCCAAAATCATCGCTACAAGTGTAAAAGGCAGGAGAAAGAGAAAGCGATGACAGGTGGACTCAGTCATCGTGATGATTCAGCAAGTCCACAGTCAGTGGATGGGGATGGGTTTGTGGTGAACATTTGCCTTTCATGTGCTTGTCCTACCTAGAGCATGATTCCTGACACGCACCACGGTTGCTCGAATAAAAATACTTGTGTTTAGGAAATGCTCACCGGCGTTGAACAACTCAAAGGAGGAACCGTCATGTTCAGAGGCGGAGCCTAGCCAATCTTCTGCCGAGCCCTTACCTGACATCAAAAGCGGCATGTTTACGGCGGTTGGTGTGGATAAGGTCGATTAAATTTTGTAAAAAGATTATTCTAGGTGCCGTCCTCTGTTTATCCTCCGCAACCACCCGCCTTCGCATTTCCTTTTGGGTCTCAATCGTATTCCGCCGCTCAGTCAGCATATTATAACCAAATTCGTGGAGTAGGATGGTGAAGAACTTCAGCTCAAGAGAGCCTGTCCATCGTCACGATGATATCTGCTATTTTCGGTGAAAACTAATATCTAGCCTCGCTCCTAGTCAACCCTCTTCCAAACTAGTCTCAACTAATGAGTATCTTGATTTTATGCAATCTTCTTGCCACATTCCATAAGGCCCAAGACATGCACCATGCAAAGTTCAATATTTGAATCTGGATAAGTGTTGTGAGAAACCTCGTAAAACGTCAGATTTGTGTCATCGACTACATTATCGTCATAAGTCGTCAAAAAAGTCACCGACCTACATCGGAGATTACCGTAATCCGCGGCACATCGCCATATTTTGACCCTAGTTTCCAATCCAAGGGCATCGTTCGACTCAGCTCGGCGAGGCGCATCTAAGGTATAGAAGTGCTTTTTCGATAGTTATGGGCACGGTAGGCGGTCAGATTTCACGAATTTTTTCTATATTGTTGCTTACAGTAGGTCATCCTGTGTGCTTATTCATTGCACAGTGAGTAATCTACCGTAGGCAAAAATCTGAGACCTGAGCGCCTTCCGTATTCAAACAGGCACTTCTGTAAGTCAGAAGATGCGCTTCGCCGAACTGAGTCGAACTGCCCTTGGATTCGAATCATTCCCTGAACCAAGATTTGGCGATGCGGATCTCGGTAAACTCCTATGGAGTTCAAAACTTTTCTGGCGAGATATGAGCGGATTAGTATATGTCTTGAGTCATGCTTCACTAGTTTTCAATGGTGCAAAAATCTGATCTGCCTTAGCCCATTCCTTGAATCACATAATGTTCAGACTTACATTTATTCATCATTTTTGTTTTCTATGAACAACTGCTCGAAGAAATCACCCTCGGGTTGTTTTATCTCACACTATATAGCAAATCACAGTGTAATAGTGAGCTTGATCTCCTTGAAAGTATAAAGTGTGCAATGTTTACATTCATAAAAATTCACAAAGCATGGAAATTCATATCTGCCCTTTATGGCGTCTTGATATGTGAACCCGTAAATTGTATGGATGAGTGAAGGCATGGTTGCAGAACTGACATTTGTACGACTTCTCACCTGGAAAAAACTAAGATCAGTTTTAACAGTAGACAATATGCATCTGGAACAAGAAGGTTTCAATATGTTGTTTTCTTGGCAAAAGGTCAGGAAATCGCAGATATATGCGAAAAATTATGGCAAAAAATCTACTGACAATCGTTATATTCAAATTTCTTTAATGCCGAGTCTTGCGGCACAGATTTCCTAGAATTTCTCAAGGCTGCCACGTGTGAGAAGAAGTTGCAGGATTTCTCGGGCAAACATATGATGTATAGAATTCAACAAGCTGCACCATCAGTGAATGCACGCAAAATTGATCTACTCTGGTGCTAAAAGTTTGGCCTGAGAACAGCACTGTTGCAGATTATAAACGTACTAAAAAAGAGATAAATATGAACTCCGAAAACGTCCAAAGCGGCCTATGCTCAAAAAAGACTGCTCGTTTACTTGGTCCACCAGACCGTCAAAATGTGACGATTTCAGAACTGGACGAACTGGACCGCAATATGTTTACATGCATTTAAACTCCAGACATACTCTAAAATCTCACAGATAGGTTCCTCCCATCAGGTAAGCCCGTCTGCAGATAAGTCCGCAGTTATCTGACAAGATTTTAGGGTAGTTATAATAGACGAAAAACGGACTTATCTGAAAGCCCTTATATGGGTCAAAAAAGCGGACTCATCTGTAAGATATTAGTGTAAGTAAAAAATTGGTGGTTTTCTCTGTAGGTTTAGCGGATAAGCCTCTGTAGGCCGATGTTGTTCATGTATGAACTCAATAAAGGAAAAGAAGATGGTAAATTTACAGTAAAATACGTAGAAGACCAAAAGTAGAGCTTTTCTGCCACAAATAAATTTAGTTCTTACCACAGCGCAGCTGTATCCACTCATTTTGATCTTTTTTTTTCATGACACGAAGAAATTTCTACCGTTTTCAGCAAACTTGCTAGATGATGCGTGGTGATTTTTCGTTAACAAGAGAGCGAAAACCGACCTGTATGAGTTTTGATATGTGATTTCAAGTTTGCTTCCAATGAGAAGGCCTTATCGCAACCCTCGTAATCGCACTGAATAACATTGCACAGGTGATTAACCAGATATTGCTTTAGATTCGTGAATCTAGCTACGAATTATACCTTAAAAGCTCTTTGACCAGTGTGAGTGAGCATATGGCGATTCAGCTTCGTCCTTTCAGCAAAACTCTTCCCACATACATTGCAGGAGAATTTACGCTCTGCATGAACGAGGGAGTGTTTTCGCAAGGCAGTGCGAGTTCGTAAAATAGAGGAGCAGCCCTAAATAGAATCTATTAATGTGATCTTATCGTTAGACACAATGGGATAAATTACAACCTCCACTGGACATGGAAACTCCGATTGTGTTCGTTGTAATGAAGCAGACTTAGTCCTGCAAAGATGCTTTTCTGAAATACAGCCAAGGTAATGAGAGCCAAACAGGACATACCCAGAAGATCCAGGATAAACCTTTAGCGGTACGCTAAAGTGCTGGACCTCAACGGCAAACTTTCTTGCTTCTGTAGGAGGCTGCAAAAAAAACATAAAATAAACGGTACATGTCAACAGTAGCAAAGAGGCAGTTATGATAAACCTATTTCTAGTATATTTTAAAAGTTACAGGATTTTTGGTCTGAGCCTTTTCTAGAGAGGATTAGCATATTAGCTCCAAATCATTTAATATATCCAGTGAATTTTTATACCCGAACTGCTCTAGACATAAAGCACAAGCAGGACTTAACCTATCACTGAAAGCGAGTACAATTCACAGGCTTTTGTACTCATCTATCCCCAGGAGGTAAAGCCATCTAATTCGCACCTCTTACAAAATGACAACATCAGACAATATCATTAGCCAATTAAGCCCATCTTTAGCACTTCTTACTTTACAGTCAAAAGGAAAAATGATATCCCTTGGTGATTATGTAAAACGTACTTCATCAGCTTCAGCTCGCACAACACCATCTCCAGCTTGACCTGACCTGCATAACGAGTTAGAGTCTCCTTTGGATACCTCGGAGCTGAAAATAATACGCTGTACACGAATGGTAAAATTTTCGTCATGTGTAGACGTCTTGTAATTGTAGCTCACTCTATTTGAAATCCCTCTGAAGACTCTGATGATGTGGAGGGCATGGAAGAACTTCGTGGAGTGTACCAGGGTGCATTGACGGATGACAAAGAAGGGTCGCAGTCCTAAACTACCATTTACCTCAGAAAAATCTTGGTAAAAAAATACCTTCGAGGAGGTGCAAGGAGTGATATCCAAGTCATCCAAAACGGTGGACTCATTCACTTGCGCCTAGAAGTACACATTCAATCTTGAAGATGAAGGTGTTCGGAATGTTTGAATTGCATTGAGACATCATGAAGAAAATGGTAGAAGCTTGACGTTTCACGCAAATAATGTTTTTGCACCAAGACGATATTTCAAAAGTATAGTAGAAGAATAAAAGTTGAAGGATCTTTTTATCGATGAGTTGAATGTCTCAATATAAGTAATATAAATTACCAGAGAAAGGTTGTTCCGCGAATCGTCATCGAGAAAGGCTGCTCGTGTTGGACTCGGACGACTAAGCTGGTTCCCTAAAATATTTGATGCACGGATCAGGGCTCGGCATGAGGTGGCTTTTGGAAAATGCAAAAAACAAGTCCCCTTTGACCTTCCTAAAATTTTACGAAGGCCCCTTTAACCCCAAACCATAATCCTAAAAAATCTCCAAAAAACGAAACGTCGACAAAAGTCGCAATTGTGTTTTTCAAGCCACAAAAACAAAACCCCTTTGCTTTTTGTCTCAAAAACGATATCCAGCTTGCTTACCAAGCCACCTGTGCCGAGTCCTAACAAGGATGTCTTCTCTAAGCGAAACACCTTACCTAGCACGACAACCTATCTGTTGAATATAAATCCAGCAAAAATATGACACAAGGAGTAAACAATGACGCGAAATAGTAAGACTCTCTCAAATACTGCTTCCAATGGCGAAGAACGAAAATCGCGTATGTCAAAAATCTGCAAATTTCTGGTTTTTTGATAATGACATATTAAATTTATGGCGCTTCCTGTTATGCGCAAATGGAACCATTATTGAACTATTCTCAGTTCACGGCTATACTCTGAATGTTTTTGAGTTGATACAGTGCAACATGTGCTAATGATTTTTTTGACTTGAAGTGTTTGCGCTGATATTCTCCTCATCACTGGACGCAATACTGTAATGTGGAGTTGATGTGAGAGTGAGGTGGTAGTGCCTCATAGAGGAAATGAATGCACAAACTTCAGCGAAACGGAATTCTAACAATAAGGAGTGAGTGAGTCGACAATAAACTGCAAAGGTGAAGATCTCGATTTTGACATGAGATAGGTTCGCCCAGCGCAGTCCGGAATGTTAATTCAAAAAATTGCCTTCGACTACTTTAAAGCGAATCTGAAATTATTTGCGGGAATTTTACGGGAGTAGCCAGAACTATGATCGGCATTTTGGCGCTCAAAACTAGCTGGGACTCTCATCTATGCTTAATGTCCCAAACTCTTTTGAAATTACCCCTTCATGTACAAGGCTAGACAACTCGTATAATGTTCGTCACTCTAAATTATACAAATTTTGGTGTTATTAATGTCTACGGCTCTAAGTCAGATTTGTTCAGCAGCCATCGAAGGTAGTCTTGAAGTCTCGCAGAAAATGCGTTGTGCTTATTTCTCATAGACCATTGCAACCTCTTGGCTTTCCTTTGAAAATGTCTATTAGGTCAAACCGAAAATCTCTTTTTCAAACAATAATAATTTCCCTTCGTCTTTACGGATTTCTGTCTTATCTTAAAAAGAGGATACCATGTTTTTTTTACAACGCTACCTTAGATTGGTACGAGGAATTCCGAGAGTCAGAAGCAGTTAAGGAAAATTGCTCGAGGTCGGCATTTTTCAAGCAGAGTCAAGAAAAATTCTGGAAGTATTTTTGTCTGATAGTGAAAATAGTGCTCAATTGACATTAACTAAAACGCCAACATGCAAAGTAGAAGCATGGTAGAGAATTGCTTCAATTTGAAATTACGCATGCTCGAAAAAATCTAAAAAGTCACAGCACTAAAACAGTCATGAACTTGTTTTATGAACTCCTCTTCCTAGCTGAGCGAAATTCATGCTAATCGAAAACAAAGTCGATTTTTGTAGAATCTTCGAATTTTGTGTCTGCTTCAAAAAGAGGTGGTCATTAAACCCATGTTGTGACTGAAAACTTTCTGCTGTGATTTTAGATCTTTCAAACATGCCCAAATTTGAAGTAATTCACTTCATTAACTTCTCTCTTTATGCGTTTTCATTCATAGCAAAGCCACTAAATTAACACGCATAATTTTCCCTACTGAACAAAAATGCAAAAAATTTTTGTTATCATGCTTGAAAAATGCCAATCATGAGTAATTTTCTCTAACTGCTTCTAACTCTCGAAATTTCTCATACCAAACTATGGCAGAGGTAGCGCTGTCAACAGCATGGTTTCATCTTTCAAGCAAAAATATTTTGGAATAAATGATAGGGATGAAAAGAAGCTATTATTTTTTGAAAAAGCGTCGAACGGACTTTCGGACAGACCTGACAGTTGTACTAAGTTGTCCCAAAAGTAAACTTCTTTTTTAAATAAATTAAGCTGTTTTTGTTATAGCAGAGGGTACCATTTGAAAAAGCGAAGTAAGCTCTACAAAAGGGCTACCAAATTTGAAGCTAATAATCAGAATTTTTCAACTACCCTAAAAATCGGATCTCCTTCCAAAAATTCCTCGACCTCTAACTAGGTCTTTATACAGTAAGCGAGTGGTACCCAAAAATGTCCTGGTAGATTTTTGCGGAGCTCAACAAACTTGGATTTCTCGAATACCAGGCTTATTGAGACCTGTGGTATACAATGACATATGTGGGAGGGGCGAGAAGCTGAATTTGCCACTTTAGACTATCTTCCTTCTCGCTTTCTATGCACGGAAAAAAACCGAGTAAAGGCATATTGGAGTATTACTATGACAAGTATAATGAACAACAATTCTCAGGTGATAGAATTTTGCTGATAAAGTTCACCTGTGGCCGTATTCATCAACGAACCGAGTGGGTTCCACTACTCGTGGATAAGAAAATAGTCCCGCTGGGTTGGATTGATATTCACAAAAAGCATTGCTGGATTCGCGAACCCATTAGCTTCGTGCATACCAATCTCTTGGGTTAAGCCTACCCAGTGGGTTTCGTTGATGAACGGCCACTGGATTACGACTTAGGCGGATCTCTGGTGGTAATCTAGTAAAGCTTGCTTCGCTCATCGAATGATACCTAAGTCTACTAGGAAAACAAAAACAGCTTGATTTATTTGGAAAGAGTTTACATTTGGGGCAACCTAACATTCTGTATTTAGGGGTTCCTGCTACTATAATTTGTGTTCGTGGCTAGCCAGAAAGTTCTTATGGACATGATCAAGAATCAAATAATGACCAACCTTCTTCCAAGAGGTAGCTACTATTATTCTGTTACCACGAACACAAATTATAGTAGTATGGCATGGCTTTGAGAATGCGCGGAAGTCTTCGGCGCTAAAAAAATTGCCTTCTGTGACGCTCCTTCGCTGCCCGTCTACGCCTCTTTTTGTGCGCTGCTTTTCCAACTCCAAAAATTGGTATAAATTCAATGTGGTATAGTTTCTTTGGTTCAATTTGAATTAACTTTGGCAGATGCCGTGTTGTGGAGCTGTCAGAGTCTACTGCTGACCGATTGTAGCAGAGCTCACATTTCAAATGCTATATTTTGGATAAACTGCAAAGTACACTTTTCTTGAAATTGCTCTACGTGCTCGTAGCTTACTTTTTCGAACCAAACGTTCCCAAAGCAAGCGACAACAGGGTAAAAACAATTTCCTTCTTTAGCGTGAGCTTCACTTTTCTTGATGCAATTTTCCTCTCTGCACACGAAAATAAGGAATCTATATGTGAATGACCAGAGGTGGTATACACAAAGTTCAGTTTCTAGATTTTATTATTAGTGTCAAAATAGCAGACAAACCTGAACTATGAGCCCAAGCCATTGTCTCGATCCTTCGTTTGCCGGTCGAGACAACAACTTTTTTGGGAAACCAAGGGCTAGTATTCGGTGAAGACGATCGAATCTTTCTTATCACAGACACATTTAGGCTCTGAAATCTTCCTGGTGTAACATAGATCAAATAAAAAACAGTGTTCTTACAATTTTCGACGACAGTCGGTCAGTCCGACACGTTTCATCGTCATCTACACTGACGGAATAATTTCTTGTGACAATTCTAGGCTCAGACGACTTCTTCTCACAGCTATAGACTACTTCTTCTCCGGCAACCAACTGAAAAAAGCTTGCTAGGTAATACATCCGATCAGCTTTGCAACTAGAATATTGAAAATAATTTTATACATTATATTATCACTACGTAATATATTCTGGATTCGTTGTTTACCGCTTGGCTACCCCTAATCCGTGGAACACGGCAAACGAGGAGAGCGCAGACGGAGAAATTACGATGAAATGTACAGATGTTCATTCTTGAATTGCTGCCAAGTGGCATGCGTTTTGGAATGCTGCCAAATTTCATAACGAGTGACCAAGCATATTTTCGTAAAAGGGACACACGTATTTCGAAAGGCAATCATGAGTGTCGCAATGATTTTGAGACTGCGTCGCCAGTGTCCGAGTGAGTTATTTGTACCTGCTTTTTTTTTTTGATCCCAGAATCCTGTTATCCCAGAAAGTGTCTTTCAAATATGTTGTATTCCTATTAGTTGCTTTTGAAGTAATGCCAAATTGCGTAACAGCGTGACTTGGGCTAAATTCATCTATGCGTTTTCAACTCTTGGTAAAAATGCTCTGACTAAGAACAGTCACATTAGGATTATCTTGCTTCGGCGTGAAGACAAGAGAGTGCGTGAGTAACTTGGTCTCGCTGGTACTTTTGGAAGCGTTTATCTAACGACAGCCTTGTTGCTTGTGTAACTGGGTTCCGCTGGTGCTTTCAACTAGATATCGGAGTGTAAGCGGCCGTAGGGCAACTCGATCGGGCAGGGAAACAGATTTTTTTACGTACGTTTGAGGCAGTTCTCAAAATTGAAGGTCCTGAAGTGGCATGCAACAACAGCCTTGTTTTTGCTTCTGTAACTGGGTCCCGCTGGTGCTTCCAACTAGGACTACAACCAAATCTATCCCTGAGCATAGGAACACTTTCATATCGCCCCCTATCCGCCGTTTTTACCCTCTTTTTTTCGAAAATCTCTTTGTATGCGTCCTCCTTCGAATTTTCATTTTCAATTCCAGCTTTTTTTTTCAATATTTTGGTGATTTCTTTCTTTCTTCTTTCTTCTTCTTTTTCTTACTCGTGATCTATCTCTATCTACCTTGGGGGAGGGGGGGGGGGGGTAGAGCAAGGATCAAAGGGGACTCCGTAAAGTTCTCAAAAGTTAGGAGAACTTCGTTCTCAGAAAGCCAAGAAACGGACTCGTGCCGGGCCCTGGCGCTGATCGTTCAGGGAAGGACCCAGGTTCGAGTTGTTTCATACTGCCGCACTGACTGCAACAGACTGCAGCTGACCACTGCGTAAAAAGAAAGAACGACCTCGATTACGACCGAGACACTCTGAATGACGCTTAGGAAAATCAAAATTTACGATTTCTCCTCAGTCGAGTTTTTGTTTTATTAGGGACCCGTCATACTTCGCCGAAAAAGGTCAAAAGCGGCGAAAAAAGCCCAAAAAGCCCAAAAGCGCCAGAAAGAGCCGGAACGCCCCTGCCGTTTTAGCGCTGGCATGTGTGTTGATTTCGCAACCGAGTCTTTTTGGTTCATTTTCTGTTGTCTGCACGTCAAAATAATGTCAGTATTCGACCAAAAGTTCGTTTCTGCGTTCCGGCTCTTTCGGGCTTTTCGGCTTTTTTGGGCTTTTCTCGGTGAAGTATGACGGGTCTCTTGCGCAAACGTGCTACGGCCGCAACGGTCGATGCGGTCAGCTGCGACTACGGCATTCTGAGACAGCCCTTGCATTTATCCATTGCTACGATGCTGTAGTGATGCAGCCATTCCATCTCCCGCTGGCAGGGGCGATACGATCTCGGGGACGCGGAGATCTTGCTAGGTGTGTTGTGGAGCCATCCCTTATGTTGGAACTTGCTCGCTCACTGTAGGCTAGATGTATGTGGTCTCTGTGGTTGCGGCGTACCCGCCGCACGTTGATATATTTGCGTGTTGTTATGGAACTATTCCTAGTGAACCCTTGGCATGTACGCCGATATGTAGAGGGAGAACTCTTGTGTTTTTGTAATCAGTCGTCAACGGATCAACGCGTTCCACAGTAGGGTGTGTGTGAAGTTACTGGAGCGGGACGAGAGAGGAACACGGGCCAAAGCAAGACAATCCGCGAACCTTCGTTTTGTGGACGACATATTCCCCACTTTGTGCAGCAAAAGAGCAAGATATGCTGAAAGGAACTGAACGGAGCAGGGCAGGATCGGACTGCGAATAAATCGGAAGAAGACCCATGAGTTCATGAAAACCTTTGCGAAGATGCGGAAATAAAACCGGAAGGTCCTCACAGAGAATGTGCTTGCTTGTATCCATAGACGTTCGATGAACATGGACAACTTGAGAACTCATAAGGGGAAAAAGAGCAGCGTGGACCAATTTTGGGCCTTTGAAGAAAGCCAACGACAAGCTCACGGACTCAGAGCTTCGAGCCCACCTATTTGACTCAACTTCTCCCGGAGCTTTGTTACGCAACTGTGACTTGCCCCGACACTGCAGCCGCATTGAAAGCTTTACAGAACATCCACATGGCGCTTAAACGCAGTCTTGTACAAACCCGACACAAGCAAAACCTCGACGAACTTCGCACTACAAATATAAGAAGAATGTCCCTCCTTCGTGATCCAGTGAAATAAGCTGCGAGAGCGAAACTCGAATGGCCGGTCACATTAGGAGAACAGACGACAGATAGACACTAAGGACATCTGAATGTTAGTGTGAACTGCTGACCTGGGTAGAACCTGCAAACATTTGGTCTGTAATGCTCCAATCAATAACCCTTGATTCAACGGGGTTGCCGGCGGAAAACGACCGTTCGCGCCCGTGACGCACTCTGCATCTCTCGAGAGCGTCCCCTCTGATCACTCTCTTGATTAAGCTTCGAGGCCCCGCCTTCCAGCCGCCAATCCCAGTTAATGCAAAGGTAGCTGGGGAAAGATACCACGTCGAAAACTGTCTTTTCAACAAGGAAGGAGCGTAACAGAAGTTGAGAAAAAGAGTGCAGTCTGTGTCAACTACGTACTACATATTTACTCCCTTCCGTATAGGAACTACGCATGCCCATCTCAAAGGCCTTGCGTGCGAATTTCCAATCGATGAGACCAATCTGGATACCCGAGTCATACCCAGCGAACATTGCGCAAAGCTCTGGCGTGTTGAATGCGCTTACGGAAAAGGGACACGTGATTGGCTCAGGCTATATATATGTTTGGGTGGAGGACATTAGGTCGCCGAATTTGGAAGAATCCTGCGCGGATTCCCTGCAGGAACGCATATCCCCGTATGTACAAGGGTGCGTATTTGTCGCAAATGACTGCGGGGACCGCCCTCTTTCGGCGACCTAATGTCCTCCACCCTATATGTTTCAGCGTGCATGTTTCTCTTCCCGAGTTGGGGCGTAGCTTGTTGGCGTTCTAATAGCCGAAAGCAATGCGTTCGAGTGGGGATCAAGTTCATCACGTCATCGCGGTTCAAAATGCTCTGCCCATCGCGTGCAGGCATTTTCGAGCCCCCGAATTCCTGACTTGTTGATACTTCCTCCGTATGATGCCTTACAAGTTTTATCCACGCCTTTACCTATATTGAATTTCCAAATTGCCTTTATGCCACAATAACGGCTCCGCATGTGGTTGGAAACAATATTGGTTCTCAAACGTGGAGTCGCACATGATGATATAGCGTCTGTACGATGTACGATATACGTCTATCTATTCGCACACACTCACTGATTCTCAAAATGGGGAAGATTGTGTTGGATGCGATGACATTTTCATAATTACTTTCGGTCGTTCAATTAAAATAAACATTAGGTAATGGGAAAACAGTAATGGGATCCTGTCCGGATTTTTACTGATATTTGTTGTTGAAATTTTCTGGAAGTGAAATCAAAAAAGTTTGCAAAGGAGGGTGTGCCTTTCTTGCCACCTTCATCTTGAGACGAAAAGTCCAACTAATGCTGCAACGACTAAGATACGAAAATCAATGACAGACAGTCTCATCAGATTTCTGCCTTGACGAATATTTTCGAAAAATACTCACAATTCCGCTCGGTTCAATCTCATATGGAGGAAGTATCGAAGCAATGTCAGAAGCTGAGTAAGGTTCAGAGGAATACATGTGCAGTATCAGTTCCGTCCGAATGGCTTCCCGTTGATGAAGTATTCATATAAAATGCATGCGGACGTTGAAGAATCGAAAATAGCGCGCTTCGATGGGAAACGCGTGCTCCACACTAGCGCGATATCGCGCGCAGATCGCGTATTCGCGAGCGACTTGCTCCTGTGACATCATCAATCGAACGTTAGCCGTTCCATTTCATTCGTTTTCTTGGCCGCTTACACGTCGCCGCTCGTATGAATTATCTTTTTCAAGTCATTCTGGCCTAGGTCGGCCCGTATCTCATCACGCATTTTGAATTTGACCAAATGTGATGGTGGTAGGGTTATACAAGAGAAGGGTTGGAAGTTGAAGCGGTAATCGGAAAGAAGCTGCATGTCTTTGAGGAGGTATGGAGGCAATAACATTCACTCCAAACTTTCTCGCTGTAGAACTGAGACAGAGACATACAGGCAAGTGTAAATGAAGTGATAGGTGGATCTGTATTTTGTTTCGATCGCATAAAGTCGTTTGTCTGCGTGTTGTCGGTGGTTCCATGCAGAGTACCAAAAAAGCATTTGTGTGACTAGTTTTAGACTTTGACATACGCTAAATCTGGTACGCATACACCATTTTTTCTGTAAAGTTGCTTGGACCTTCATCTATTAACGCATTTGACAGGTAGAGTGTCACTACCACTAGTACTCAGTTCGTTATATATGTCTTCAACCGACCATTCCAGTCTTTTGCTTGATATATTTTCTATAAAGCACGATGATAGAGTAAGGAAGCAATGCATATATAAACAAAAGAAAGCAATGTATATACATATATAAACAATTTTCTTTTAGGTTTTCTTTTGGCATGAAGCGTATAATTAACTTGACATAATGAAGCCTTGTAGAAGTAAATTGATGCTACTAATTCAATTGTTCCCAAAAACCTGCACAAGTATGCTTGCTTCAATTTTCGTCAGCAGATTTGCAAAGATGGCATCCACTGTTTTCACCGTTTCGATTAAGTGAGAAAATTCTCTGAATTCGTAAAGGGCTGGATTTGACAGATACTGGCCTGCGAATGAGTCAGTATTCGCCTTGTCTCGCACAATTTCGATCGATCGTCTGTGTCTTCGTGCAATGTAATGCGTTCAGTTCTGCTCACGAATTTACTTTGTCATCATTTTAGAACCTCAGCAAATTGCTTAGTCTTTTGTCAGATGTTCATCTCAATCTAGCTAGCGTTTGTACAGCAATAGGTGATGGATAGCTCCACGGGAGAATGTGCGACATCATATAAATCACCACCAACTTCACAGAGTTCTGTTGAAGACATCGCAGAAGAAGTTGGCACACTGCATGAGTCTGTCGAAGAGAAGCAGGTATGTGAACCATTTTGTGCGCAAGCAATCATCAGATAATACTTTTTTGTCTGTCTTATTTTTGTGGGAGGGCCTGGGGTAGGGGACTATATGTCGCCGAAAAGGGGCGCGCGCGACAAACCCAATTTTTTGGACCCCAAAGAACTCCCCGTGCAAAACGTCTCCTCCCCAAAAACAGGGGGGTGGGGGTCGGGGCCTATACATTACCCGATGCCAATGAAAAAATGATGCATAGTTTTGAGTTACGGGATTCACGTTGCTTGCGTTTTGCACGGCACATGCAAGGAGAATTTTTCCTGCAGGAAATCCGAGCGGGACACTCCCACGTTCGGCGACATATAATCCTTCACCCGGGAGCCTGTAGTGATCAGGTTTGAGACCGACCATACTATTCCTGCGATTCCTGCGATTCTTGTGATTTCTGTGGGTTCCGTAACAATGTATATTGCGAAAAAGCAATATATACTGAAATTCGCAAAGGGCTCCGTAGTGCAACACATCGGAAGCCGAGAAATCGCAAGATTTGCAGGAATTACAGGAATCGCAGGAATCACCTTCTGGAATAGTATGGCCGGTCCCTTTATGCCAGAGTTATGACGACGGTACCTTCCCACATTCGCCGACATACGCCTATATATTCTTCTACCCCATGTTGCAGCCTGCGGCGTACGTTGTTGCAGTCGCAGCGAAGATATGCAAAAACAAGAAAATATAGTGATCTCATAAGAAGTATAGTTCATTTATAAAATCGTGACGATGGCTGTTGCTGCGAACTTTGCGCCCACAGGAGCCCAAAATGCTCATACAAGAGGGCATCACCTCAACGTTCAGCTCAGTCACTGCCAGTGTCTAAATATTACCTTACGTAAGCAAAAAACCATTCGACTAGCGATAAAAGCAAGAAAGTGCGGTTTCCGGATGTGACGTGGTGTCGCGCGCGGTCGCGCCATCGTCATGATTTTCCAAATGATGTAGGGATCGGCCATAGTATTCCTGCTATTCCTACGACTCCTGCGAATCCTGCGATTCCTGTGAGTCCCGCACAGTTTAGGTAGGTGCTAGAGTAAGCGAATATTTTGTTCAAGTTGGGGTCCCGCGCAGAACTGGCATCACTAATCTGTGGCATAATGCCAACTTGGCGTTGTGCCACAATGATTAGTAACGCCAGTTCTGCGCGGGACCCCAACTTGAACAAAATATTCGCTTACTCTGGCACCTACCTTAGACGCCGCTTAAATGAGCGCGTGTTGCGTAAAACAACACGTAACACGCAACACCCGCTCATTTGGCCGATCCCGTAGAGTCCCTTCATTTCATATGATCATGTGTGTCATCGCCTACACAGTTCACCTTTGGTGTCCCCATCCTGGATTCGTGGGAGAAACAAGCCTTCAGGTAAGTGTTTCCAAGATGTTCTTAGCATTTTCTTTTCTTTTTAGTTACTAGTTACCTCAAATTGATGTAATCGATAACAATCGATAAGTTTCTCGCGTTTTTGCGATTGCAAGTCCAGGATGAGGACGCCAAAGTGGACTGTGTGTGCAATGGCACACATGATCATATGAAATGAAGCGACTGTATACTAGACAGAATAGCGCACTGAAGTCATTGACTGAAATCTAACTGAAGCGAAACAAGTTTGGTGAGATTGAGAACGCACCCAAATTCAACCTGATAAAAACTGAACTCATGATGAGACAAGGCAAAAGAGGAGGAAGACTGCTAATTCTATTGACAACTCTCTACGAATGCGAACGTGCACAGAAGAGGAACATCAAAGCAATACTGCGGTGGCATAAGCAAATCTTCGCTGCGCTGCAACGGCGCACGCTGTATGCTGCCGCGTCCTGCGGCATGTATGAAGGAACACTGAGCGTTCTTTAGTTTATATATAACTTCGTAATTTCAACAATCTCAGTGCATCTCAATACAAATGCTATCTATACTTGAAGTTTCCGTTTCACTGTGCCTCAATTGCTCTCAATAGACGCAGCCCTTTATAAGTTGGCATCTCGTTTGAGCGCTTTCAAAAACTTTTGGAACTAAGTCGATTTTTATTTCTATAGTCACATCTGGTTTTATTTGAAAAATTTCCTGCGAAACAGTCTTTCAGAACTCCTCTAAGCGCAAATCTCCCATGGATGTCTCGTCGCAGGGAAAACGATACGCGAGAAGTCCGAGGTGAGCAGTCGTTTGTCTCATACTTTTCATCGTTTTATAGATTTATATTGCTTCACACCTTCTTCATCTTATCCATTTTCCCCTGTATGGGAGGGCAATCGCTGCGACAGCTTGAGTATACTCGCTATGAGACTAGTCGGGAAGGCTGTGCGATTTTGCTTTACGGGTTCTATTCTTCTTTGCAGTCTAATTATAAATTGCAATTTCTAGGCAAATCGAAGCACATGCAAGCAAGCAAAAAACGATTTATCTGCTACCGAGATATCTATCGCCAAACTGCTCTAAACCGCTGAAGTGTGTTAGTAGTTTGCCTTTGCGAATGTTGGTTTTTTTGCACAGATCATAGCTTACCTCGTTGACTGTTCGTTCCCGTACCGCTATAACCTCTTTCGAATGTGCTCGGCTCCCAGATTTATAGAGACGGAAACTTTCCAGTTCAGAGCGTGGCGTTTTTGGTAGGGACGGAATCGAATAAGCAATACTTAATGTGGAGGTTTAACAAGTTTAAAGGCCGATTCAAGATATAGGAACGGCTTGCAATGTGCTTGCTCTTGCCTTTTTGGCGACGACTAATCGCTCTCAGATGGACTCTGCGCGAAAGATGCGTATAGAGTAGGTTTTTTTGAGCAGTGCTTTAGTCGCTATCTTCATTTCCAGCAGGAAAAACCTGTGCTTAGGTCCTGGCCAGACTTCGCTCAAAAGCGCTTAAAAGCGCTCAAATTTCGAGAAAGTGAGGAGACATTAGAAAAATTTAGGCGCTTTTGAGCGCTTTTGAGCGAAGTCTGGCCGGAGCCTTAGATTTAAGACACTACCTTTGAAACATTTAGAATGAGATGATGCACAAATTGCAACATATTGAGCACATATGAGCACGGCAGATTCCAGTCTTTGAAAATAAATGATACATGGCGGCAGCCCCATTTGAACATGTGTAATACACATTTCTCACGTTCATACGTGTCAAATGCGCGTCTTTATATAATTCGTGATTCATTTTGACATCAATCCATACAATGGCCAGCAGAAAGAGTGTTTTTGGTTTACTAAAATTGTTCAATTTTCTCTTTGTCACAGTTTCATAACCTTATCATTTCTAGTGCACCTTAATTCTTCCATGTTCATCGTTTGACTCCCATTGCTTCGGTAGGATGTAAGCAAGTATGACTACCTGTAACTTTAGACTTGCAAGCTGTTTAAAGTCGGTGCTTAGGCATGTTTGCCTCTGACTTTCTGCCTCGGGATACTCTTCGGGGAATTTAAACATAAAGTTATGCGCACAAAGGCTGAAATCGAAATGTTTTTTTCCTAGATGGCCTAGAGATACTTCAAAAGAGGAATGCGTGATTTTCGCAAGGAGCCCTTGTCCCAATTTTTTTCAAAAGGAAACTGAGGGTAGAGAATCAAATGTCGGCGCGGAGAATGCAGTAGATATCAGCCTTTGAATGTATGAGAATGAGTATTTGTTGTAGGTGTCCGGCGGGACCTCCCACTTTCGGCGACATATAGTCTCCTGCCTTTATCTTTATTGATACGCGTTATAACTAACACGTGAGGTAAATCCAGAAAAGATGAACCTGAGAGTCTCCTGCCTGGGAAATGGTGAGGATCGGGCAGTTATTATGCATCCATGGCTTGCGAAATTGTGAGTGAACGGGCCAGTAGGAGGATAGGGTTTTGGTCTGAAGCTCTACCGCACGCTTAGATATAGGCACTATTGGAGATATACTTCAGCTGTGCGTGAGATAATCGACCTGCTCAATCTCACTCTAACACTGACTAGAAGTGGCGAACCGGGGGCAGGGAGAGGAGAGAACTCTTTCCATCGTTCTTGCGCGGAAGTAGTAAAGAATGTGGCAGTATTTGTTGATTCATCACTTAAACGCAACTTCTTTACAGGTATCTTTGTCAAAGCATTTTTTTGCAGTTACTCTATGGACTCCGATGAGGAATCTTCTACGCATGCTACCGTTGAGGATGCACATCTAATTCGACCTTGGGTAGATCAGTTTCAAGTATGTTCTTGTATGAAGATGTTTTCATCCGATGTTACTTAGTACATCTCACGGGCAGCTGACAATCTTATTCTTGTGTAAATATCTAACTATCCTTGAGTGTTGAAGATGGAAGCTTTAATTTTGTTGACCTGTTTTCGTGAACAAGTTTCAAAGCTGAGCTCAAAGGCAGTGTCTCGGCAGAATTTAGTATTTCAGAGAATATGGTAAATGAAACTTTGCCGAGACACCGCCTTTAATGACAAGTAATATACAATTTAGTTGCACTTCAAAAAGCAAACATGATATAGTGCAGCTTACCTTTTATTTCTTCAGGCAATGTCACGAAGATGTCAGCGCAGTGCACTACTGCAGTTGATAAGTACGTGCGGGCTACAACATGTGCGTCATGTGCGTCAGCTGATCGAGCCTCATTTCCAGAAGGATTTCCTTTCTTGTCTACCAGTTGAGGTATTCAACTCCTGATTTCACGATTTACCATCTTATCTGTCTACAAAAAGAAGTGGCATCTGTCATGATCTGAAACCTGTGCTGTGCATTTGAAATTGAAAAAAAAAACATATTTGGAGCCATTTTTGTTTACTCAACCAGATCACGATTCCAACCAAAGACAAAATTAGCAGATCAATAGCATAGCTGTTTTTGAAAAGCATCAAGCGAAGAGACTATCATTTGGCTCACAAGGGAGGTCCGCTAAGTCGAAGTGGCCTTTCGAATAAGTCTCATACCACTTTGAAGAGCATTAAACGGCGATTCCATTTGGCTTTATTATCTGCCGAGCGCCTCTGCATGCCGAGTTATGAATTTATTCTTGGTGCGAAAAATGAATGCAAAATTTTGGCAAAATCAAATTTCACGGTCTTTTCAGCAGACAGAGCATTGTTAAGTATGGGCCGTCTGCGCTGCGCACGGAGAGCAACGCTATTGCGTCCACTGAAGATAGTTCATGACTGGAAGAAGCGCAGAGAAAACAAGCGGCGAGAGTGCACGGTGAGAGAGGAGTGATGCGCAGTAGACACGTTGCGCACTCTCCGCGCTCTGCGCGGACGCCTATTTGAAGTGTTTGAACAAAAGGTATTGTTAAATGGAGTGCTCTGGTAATTAACATTGGACATAGGACATTTATGCAGTTCTGACGATTTTTGTTCCAATCATGCATTTGATTTTTCAACTCAAAAAACGCTCATAACTCGACGTTCGGAGGCGCTCGGCGGACAGTGACGTTGGATGCCCTTTATAGTCGTATCAGTTTCATATGAAAAGGCCACTTCGACCAAACGGAACTCCCTTATCAGTGCTGAATCAGCTCAAGGGATTGGCGCGATGTAATACAGGACACAAAGAAAGCCAAATTTGGCATAGCGACTCATTGTTCGAATGCTTCGGCTGGCAATCCTTTCCACTTTGTGTTCTTCCCCTGTTAGTAGAAATTGCGCTGTCTCCCTGGATAGATTGGCTACGTAAAAGACAGCTGCGGACTTACGGAGGACAATATCCAAGTCCGATTTGCACGACATCGGCACGGCATTCAGACATCTTATCGAGTATTGTCAATAAGATGGTGCAGGAGAGTGGGCTATATTTTCAGTCTGTCTTAATTCAAGTCTAAAGAGGAACGGAAATTCATTAGCAATTTGGGCATTTCTCACAAACTCAACCGAAACAACTGTATTCAGCAAATAGTTCGATTGGTGGCAGCGTAGCTGTTGATTGCTTGAGCTATACTTGAACTCGACGACTGCAGAGTTACCTTATTTAGCTTGCGATACAAATTGTTGCAAATCTACCGATGGCAGACATTGTGCGTGCTGCAAGGGTATCACGTTTTTGGCGTGATATATGTGAAGACGATCGTATGTGGCGGCTGAAATGTGAACGCGAAGGACTTGAACCCCTTCCTTTGCCTAGGTCTGTCTTGGGTTTGAGCTTTTTCTATTTTACACGCTACATCTCTCACTTCAGTGAACGTGTTGCTGGAGCTTGGGAACAAACAGCTATGGGTAATGGTGTGACCATTGTGGATCACTATAAGGGAGCTGAGTTGGAGCAACATAGGAAGGCAAGAGAGCAAAGCTATGGAAGGTATTTCTAGAACTTGTTTTGCCATTTTGCTTATTTTTAATAGATTGCTCATGTTTTGGTGAAATGATATGCAATTTTTCAAGTGTATACTCACGATCCGTATGGAAAGCCACCTATCTGAGGCGTTGTCGAATTGCAGCTAACTGGAGACGTTTGCCTATAGGTGGAAGCATGGTGTTGAGAGGACATGAGGAACATGTTATAACGTGCTTACAGGTGTGCATGTGAAATTTCTTTTCTCTTAGAAGGTACATATCGCTGGATCTTGATTTCAGATACAAGGAGATATGCTGGTCACCGGATCTGATGACAACACTCTCAGAGTGTGGAGCATCGAACAAGGGAAGGTGAGAATTTATGTCCCAGCATCTCACATTACTTTTAGATCAATCATTGTTCATCGTAAAGTTAGTATGACTTCAGCGTGTGTTCCGGTCGTAGGTATATAAGTCTTATCTTCTCCCATGAGACCAAATAACTGGCGAAAAATTGTGAGCGGGTGGTGCATGTTTCTATGTAGTACTTGAGTTCATGCTCTTCTTAACAATTCTTGAAATGACATTTAAATATAATTTTCAGCTACTTTTTACGCTTGTGGGACATACGGGAGGAGTATGGACATCACAGCTGTCGACTGACGGAAAGTATATCATTAGTGGCTCGACTGATAGGACTGTAAAAGTTTGGTCAGCAAAAGATGGCTCACTTATCCATACATTACATGGACACACAAGTACAGTGCGATGCATGAGTCTGTGCCGAAACACGTGAGATTTTATTTTCTTGACTACAAATCAGTTTCCCTTCTTTCTTACTACTGTCCTCTCATGCAAGTTTACGATTTCAAATCCCATGTCTGGCTATCAAAACTCTCATGGAGTGTAGCCGTTATTGCAACTACGACGTTGTGAGTAGATCCGAGTAGTCAAAAAGCTTCACAGCTTCACATTAGAATCTTAAAAGTGCGAGAAAATGTGGCATTGCAGAGGGAGTGAGGCAGAATACATGGCACTAAGTAGTATAGGCGAAGCTTACCCATACTGTGTTCGTGTTAGTTCAGAGAGACAGTCTTCATTTAGTACGCAAAGTTAATATTATCATGTGACTGATACTGACAAGGAAAGTAGTTTTTTTTTTTCGGAATAACGTGTGCCAAAACCACATGTGAGCTGATTTTGAACCCATCTTCTCGATCTGCGCTCTGCATTTTGGAGACTATAATTTTGGGAGCATTGCGTAGTTCTGCTGCAGAAACAAGTGGTGAACTATGATAAAATTCTTCATGCAGAGCGTTTGCCATACTTTTTCCTTTAGGGACGCGTCATACTTCGCCAAGGAAAGCCCAAAAGCGCCTGAAACAGCCCAAAAAAAGCCGAAAGCGCCAGAAAGAGCCGGAATACAGAAACGAACTTTGGTAGAATTCTGAAATATTTTGATATGCAGACGGCAGAAAATGAACCAAAAAGACTCGGTTGCTAATCAACACCCACGGCTTAGCGCCAAAATGTGCGCGCGGAAGGGAGCGTTCCGGCTCTTTCTGGCGCCTTCGGGGTTTTTTGGGCTTTTTTCGGCGAAGTATGACGGGTCCCTCACAGTATTCATCTCATTGACAAGTTCGACTCAAATACGGTTTTGATGTATGCGTTTATGACGGACTGCATTGGTTCTTTTTTCACTACAGTGCGAGCTTGGTAACGGTACAGAACGTAATGCATCATCTCGGTTCTCTCATCATGGGGCGAAATTTGGACACAGTCGAACAGCTTCAGATCTGGGCGTTTAGACCGGTGAGATTTGACGACCAAGATTAAGGTCAGGGATTTTTTAAGTAGCTGAGAAGTCGATTTCAGCAACTTTCAGATTTTCTCCAGTGTACAGCTTCTAATGTCGCGGTAGTTGCACAGCGCGCTATACATATTCTTCTTCACAAAGGACTTGTTTCTTTCATTTCTCTCATGTGTCTGCTATATTGGTATGAGTATACAAAATGCTGAAAGGAATTCCTTGAACGCGATCTTTTCCAAACTCTTTCATGTTAGCTGTACAGGGTAGTCCACATGAAGTGTGACACAACAAAAAAATAACTTTGCAAGGACTGAGCGGAATGAAAATTTCTGTCCTCACCTGATAGAGAAGAGAATTTTCTTGTCCGAGCAGAAAATACTTTTTCACCAAAGCCGAAGGTGTATTTCTTAAAGGCAGCGTCCGGGCAAGATCTATCCACCCGAGTTAGCACATAGTTGTAAAGAGGGGCCCATGAGTATCCGATCTGCGTTGGTCCGAATCTTTAAAGTGGCCTTTAAAAGGAGATACGGGCTTGTGATACGTATCACAAACTGTCCCTTCGTATCACAAACCACCGCTGAGGACGAGTGCTCACGCAGGTGTACGGTTGCATTGCAGTTGCATTGCAGTTGCACTGCATCCGTGCAGTTGCAGCTCCTCTCGCTGGCATGCGATGGGGACGAGCAATCCGAAACTCGTCCGCTTCTTGAAGAGAGGGTCCCCCAAGAATCGGGGTTTTTGGGGGGTGTTGAACAATTTGGACTTTACAACTGTATTCAGGGCCACGGGAAGGCACCAGAATGGCAGAAACATGAGAGGCGAAATTTTGCCCGGACGCTGCCTTTAAAAGTAATCTACAATATCTTATACGGAATTTTCTTGTCTGTCAGATAGAAACAAGAGCTTTTAATTTTATTAAGTTCTAGCAAAGCTATGAAAGCTTTTGTGCGTCACATTTCATGTGGACCACCCTGTATACTGGCTTCGGAGAAGTGAGAACAACCCTCTACATCTGACCTCTCTAACTCAAGTCGACCTGTTCGCAATGAAAAAAAATTTTTTTCAAGTAAAAATACGTGTCATAACAACTCTTGTTCTAGACTGGTATCTGGATCACGCGACACAACCGTCAGAGCGTGGAATATCGAAACTGGTAGGTGCGAACAATATCTGACTGGTCATGTAGCAGCAGTGCGCTGCGTGCAATTGGATCTTGATGGGGGACGTGTGATTTCGGGTGCATACGACTTCACAATCAAGGTTTGTAAATGCGACACAGTGTAAAAAATTTGTAATTCCTTACAGGTTCCGCCAGTCATGGTTTCTTTGGTATCTTGAATAGCATAACTTAAGTTTATAGTCCAGGCTAATTACTAGAAGTAACATTGTACCTCGCTCCTATCCGTGCATAGTCATTTTGTAGGCATGAATGAATGGGGCCATAGAGTCATTCGCGATTGGGTTGTTGAAGAACGTGCTACTTGCAATCGACGCTTAGTGTTTCTTAGTTAACGTTGCGATCTTACCAATCTTCTGAAAGTTCTCCGCTATGCTACGCACGCAGACTATCGTGTTTGTCGTAACCTGTGGAAGCCCTATCCTTGTATCAATTCTAAGCTTTTCAGGGTGATACGAAAAGGCGTGAAGCTTACTAGAGCTAAAGAATTTCTCAATCGGCTATCACTTTGTTTATCTATCATTGTGCTAATCTGGATTCTAGGCTGAAGAAATCTTACCAGTCTAACCCATATAATACAAATTACAAATCAGCAGATCATTATTAATCGGCAAGCAAAAGTAGCCTATGTTACCCGCCGCGTTTTGATTATCTGTATGCGTCTGGTCCTAAAGTCGCATAGTCTCATTAGCAGAACATAAAAACATGCAAATATACATGTGCTTTTTATTAAAGAGAGTTGTTTCACGTTTGTATGTTACACTTTTTTGTGATCCTGTTGACTTAGTCTATTTATACTGGCAAATACTTCATGGGAACTTTGATTATGCTTTTTGAAGTTTTGAGCCGATAGCCACTATGGCCTCAGGCGGAGTACACGCGATTTGATCGTCGCGATTGATCGCGATAAGGCAAGCGACATACCTCACGCGATTTCAGTCGCCACGCGATCTGGCAATTTGCCAGATGTTTTCAAATTCAATACTGGTAGACCCCAAATGCACAGCATGTATAACTTTCGTAGGTTGATAAAATGCCTCATCTTCCGTACATTCGGAAATCCCGTACGATGAGTTATGAACATTTGGAGTATTGCCAAATCGCGTCGCGATTGAAATCGCGTGAGGTATGTTCGAGGCCTAAGACAACTGTAACAATATCATTGCATGCTGATCTAACTCGGTTGTGATAGTTTTCCGAGACGACTAGTCGTGACTAACTATCACAATTGAAAAACAAGAAAATCGGCATGCAATGAACTTGTAACACTTGTCTTGTAGCGATTGAATCGCGACGATCAAATCTCGTGAACTGCGCGAGGCCTATCACAATCCGTGTTGAATATTTTTGGGGGCATGGGGCACATTTTTGAGATGCTAACATCTGAATCGAGAAGTGATTGTATAAGTAGGAGGTGGCGGTTACACTTTTTGTAAATATGGAATATCGTGTTAAAGAGCATCGGCACCATTTAGTGTGTATCGTATTGACTTGATGTATCCAAGTTGTGGATATTGGCTGCATCATGTTGTCATTCGTATATTTTAGGTTTGGGATTACGAAACTGGTTCCTGCACGTATACACTGACTGGCCATACCAATAGGGTTTATTCTTTGTTGGTGAGTCGTAATGTTTGTATTAGGTTGTCAAGAAATAATGTCGTTTTTTTCGTTTTTTTTTTCGAGTAGAATTGATATTACTCGAGAACTAAAGCATATCCGAGGCCAAAATTTTATGGTAAAAGTTACGAAGCTTTGTAGTATACAAAGGCATATGTGGGAGAGGCCCAGTACTACTGGGGGGCGGACTCTGCCATTTTACATTTTCCAATTTTTTCTTGGTTTCTAAGCCTGAAAAAATATAGCAAGTGTACCTATGGATAAGTGCTTGTGTCTTTCATATGCTGGAGCAAGTGAGAGGCTCGCAGAATTTTTAGGGCGGAAATCCAATTTTGGCATCACAAGTTGCTCGTATGTTTTGGCTCTGAACTTTGCGTAAACAAGAAGTTTCGCGAAAGTTCGGATGTCATCTTGTAGAGTTTCCTTTGCTCTATCGAACAGTACCCCTCACATTTTTTTGAATTTGTCTTATGGCTTTGCTATGAAAAACGACATTATTTTCTTGACAATCTAATAGCATTGATGCTCGTAATTTGCATATTGAGTTTCTGAGATTGTAGATTAGTGGATCGACAACTGTTTTTCTTGTAAAAACGTAATTTATATGTTCAAGCTGGATGCCCCGCGCAACATAGTTGTCAGTGGTAGTCTCGACACCACTATAAGGGTTTGGGACATTGCAAAAGGCACGTGCATTTGTGTTCTTTCTGGACACCATTCACTGACATCGGGCATGCAGCTTAGAGGTGACATACTGGTATCATGCAATGCTGATAGTGACGTCAGGGTGAGTTTCTCTGACATTCTTGCAGTGTCCACATTGTCTCGTGTACTCATGAACGCATTTTAGGTATGGAATATTCGGGATGGATCCTGCATGTATCGCCTTCATGGTCCCAATGGTCACACGTCAGCCATCACTTCGTTGCAGTTTCTGGATAATGGTATCGTTGTAACTAGTGGAGATGATGGAGCTGTCAAGCTCTGGGATGTCATGAAAGGTACTACTCTTTTTATTTGCTTACTATACTGGCTATAGTCGTCCTCACCCCACTAGTCGGTCGGTGGTCGAATTTGAATTCGAACTGGAGCAGGCCGACCGCGCCAGAGCGCGGCAGACCGCCCCTCAGCCAACCGCTTGCACGAACTTTTTTCTTAATTTCTTCGTGTTTCTTTGCTATCTCTCGTATTACGACAATGTTCCTAATCAGATTTTTAGATTTCATACCGAACTTTTTGAAACAAACACTTTTTGAGAAGATTTCAGCCCTATCGCAAAAAAATAGTCTAGAATTCTAATGAAAAACTTGACACAATCATCACAAACTCATCAGATCACATTTGTGTCTATTTCACTTACCGAAAAAGATATTTCTTATTCAAAAATCTCTATTCTTCCCGGTTTACCTGGAGAAATTGTAAAACAAACGAGAACAATCGCACAAAACAATAGTTAGCTGTACGAAATCTAAAAATCTGATCAAGAACATTGCCGCAATACGAGAGATAGCAATGAAACACGAAGAAATCAAGAGGAAAGCTCATGTGCAAGCGGTTGGCTGAGAAGCGATCTGCCGCGCTCTGCCGCGGGTGGCCTGCTACAATTCGAATTTGAATTCGACCACCGACCGACTAGTGGGGTGAGGACGACTATATATATGGTCGTCATGTTTAGGTGAATTTATTCGTGATCTCGTGAGGCTTTCATCTGGAGGTAGCGGGGGTTGCATCTGGCGTCTCAAGGCTACTAACAATCTTCTCGCTTGTGCTGCTGGGTCCAGAAATGGTACTGAGGATACCAAGGTCATACTATTAGATTTTGACGCTGGGTATCCATGAAGGTATCAGGTGTTTCTACAGTTCGGTGAATGCTCCTTACTATGTTCTCCTAGGAATGGGTTTGCTTTTTATGGTTAAAATAGATCTGGGCTTTGATCTTTCGCATCATTTTGCTGTGCAAGGCAATGATGATAGTATTATTTGTGGTCGAATCATTCTTTCATCGCTGCCTTTTGCACTGAGGTTTTGTTATCTGTGAGAAATTACTGCTGGTAGTGTAATCCAGTTCTCATGATCGAAGTCACTTCGCTCCTACGGATGCTTAATTCATTTATTTTTCATAACTCTTTTTTTCACAGATTGTTTTGTTGCATCGCTAGTTGCGCTATATGTATTTTTCTTGCGACAGTCATTCATTTGCCAATCTGCTTAAGTCATTCGTTCCCCTTTCCGCGTTTTTCTATATTTTTTTGGTGAAATTTTCACTAGGTTTTGATATTTTCTTTGTTTTTTTCACTAACCCAGTTTTGACAGCGTTCTAGTCAGTGCCTAACCATATTATTCATAGCATACTTTATCTTTTCTGTTCACTCCAACGTATTCCGATCGAACGGCAGCTAACCATCGGGCTTGAGCTTTACAGTGCTGTTATGTTCGATTTCTTATGGAAATTTCATAAGCAAAACATGTTTGATAGGATCGCGATTATGGTGCATTTTATTCTTGTCAGATGGAAGTTTATTTCCTAGGTTTGTGTGTTTTTCGTGTTTTGCTGGTGTGTTGTCTTTCATTCATGCCCTTGCTATCGGATGTGCCGAACTTTCTTGTAACTATTGGCGACTCTGTATAATGACTGGTCCAATAAACATTGTAGATGCTCGCTACACACATGATTTTGATCTCACTGCTAGAACTCTACGCAATATCTATATTTCCATTTCTTACATGACGCTGTACAAAGTGCCTCTTCTAGCTGTATGGTTTTGATGACATCGCATGCAATTGAAAAGTATCTTCCGCAAGTTTGCTAGTTCGTTCATCCGCCCTGTAATAGCTAAACATAGAATAGATCCAAAGACAATGAAGCTTGATACACCAGAGTTCAGGTGAGTTTTTCATTTGATAGGTATTCCTTTTTGATGCTTAGATCACAACCATTTGATCATCTATTGAATAGCTGTCTAACACTTTGAAAGTGCAGTAGTCTCGGTATCATTACAACTGTTAGGTTGTGCAATTAGTTCTGTCCCATTTTTTTATTGATTTTTTCTCAATATTTTTTATGGTGTTTTGCAAAATGTATGTATGCAGAAAGCTTCAAGTCTGCTCTGAAAATTCATATGCGTCATTCCCCAACTTAGATAAAAATGGAAGAGAATTTTGACTATAAAACAGAAACCCAAAGAGGCAAAAAATCTTTCTTCGACATCTTTCTCTCCAGGAAATTTCCCAATTTTCCAATGGTAAAATTTATTCAAAAAGCTTAACAACAAACAAAACAACCTAATCGATTCTTATGTTTGCACTGTCACTGTTTGTGCTTGTTCTCTTCTTTCTACCGACTTTTCAATATCTTTTTTTTTTAAAAACGGCGAAGCGAGACTTTGCCGCGGTGATGTTCGTCGTCTTGCGTATCCGAGATGTGACCCATCCCCCCCCCCCCCAAACTTTGAATTTTTGGAATAATTGATTTAAAAATTGACGATTTTCTGCCAAAAACCTCCCTTCTGTTTTCCTGGAAAATCCTCTGTCGTCCTCTATTTCTTCATTGTGACGCCTTTATGTAGTGCGTAAGTGATCATCTCAACGACATTGGTGACTATAATCAAAACAGTGCAAGTTTTGGTGGCAAGAAATATTCATTTTTTCGGAAGAGCGCACAGCAGATACGTAAGGCAAATTTGGCAGAGCTGCAAGATGCATTCAATAGTGCAGAACCCATTTCAAAAGGCCTGAGCAATGGTTCCGCTAGTGCTCTGGTAAATCCCTATAGCTTGTGATAGAATCTGTCTCTTTTCTCTCACTACAAACAATATGATGAGCGATTCGGCATATTCAATCCTCGTTCGGATGAATGGCTTGTTGCCCAGTGGACGAGAACTACATATTGGTCTCACGGTCATAGCAGTTTCGGAGCTCAGAAGAAATCACCATGTCTCAGTGGTTTGTGCAGTCGGTTACTCCATTCAAATTACCAGTGGAAATGATGTTACTTAGTGGTGATAACATTTTTCTACTATGGCATTGCCAGGACCAATAATTAGGCCTAGAGAATTGCTGAAAGTCGACGGCAAAATGTGCATGTGCGAAATCTGGGGTTTTGATTACAACAAAAGATTTTTTAAATCAATTATGCATGGACAAAATTTCTGCTCCACATCGGTATGCCTTTAGATCGTTGTTCACACCCCAACTCAATACTTTATCGGAACTTTTCAAGAGAAATAGTTATGAATTGAGGTACGTTTAAATCTCTACGTAATGTTACCATAGGCATTTTTAAAATACATACCTAGTTTGTCTAATCTGATTTAACGAACTTCGCCAATGCTTCTGTTTCAAGAATAGCTGGTGGCGCAGTAAGAGACTTATTGATGCACATACGACCAGCTGATGTGGATTTTGCGACTACAGCTACTCCTACTCAGATGAAGGTATTCAACTCGTAAACATTCCCAGTACCGTCTAGAAAGTTCATCAACAGTTGTGTTTGCCTAGCCTGTCTTCGATTATTACAAGCTTTTTTCTGTTATAACCACCTATTTTATGGCTTTTGTGAAAAAGCAAAAATTACAAATTTGACTCAAAAGGCTTTCGAAGTTGTTTTGCGTGGAAGAAAGCCTTGCCTATCAGAGTAACTGTTGCTGTTTGAAATGGCGCAATATGAGCTGTAAAATCATCTCGAGACTCTCCAAAAAAATCATTCCTGAATTAGGGCAGATTTATAAATATTAGAAGTTGCTCCGCAAAGTTTGAAATTTGCGTTAATTTTTCTAGGACTCTCTTTTCCAAGCTCTCAGTCTGATCTGTTAAGAGCCGGCATGGCTATAAAATCGAAAAATGTTATACATTTGAAAATCGGTTTGACAAACTCATCTAGATTACGTTCAGATTTTTCGCGGATTTCGAAGCCTCCCCCGGTTCGCCACTGCAGTTAAAAGGCAGTGTCCGAGCTAAAAGTGGATTTTGAGATTTTGTGCTTACCCGGGCCTATTCGCTATGGTGAATCCGAAAGTTCACACGGAGAGCGCGAAGGCGAAAAAGTACTCTAATGCAGGAGGGAAAACAGCGGGTGGGCGGGGTGTTCCGTGAATTTAGCTCCCTGCTTCAGGAGCGATCTTCTCGGTTACGATCTCAAGTCGCGCGTTCGCACTTGGCTGGTGGCGATGTCAGGGCGGTTAGCGGAATCGAGAAGATCGCTTTTGAAGCTGAGAGCGTGAGTACAATGGGGAAGACTTCCCCCTCTAACCCACCTGCTGATTTCTCTCCTGTGTTCGGGTCCTTTTTCGACATTTTCGCGCTTTCTAGTATGGATTTTCGGATTTAGCATAGCGAATAGGCGCGGGTAAATACAAAATCTCAAACATCGATTTTTTGCCCGGACGCTGCTTTCAAAATGTACACCTAGCCGCTATTTGCTGAATTTGGTATTAGTGAAAGTCGGTTTAGAGAGAAAAAAGGTTTTCCGTTTTGTTTGATGACTTTAAATTCATTGAATTCATAACTGATGTTCTATCACTCCTGCTGTTGTATACGTTTTGGAATATGCTAAGTGATATGGCAGAATGACAATGAATCAATTCATTGTCATTCTGACAAACCTTCATTGAGAGCAACCTGCTAATTAAATCGTTCATGATCATGGCATAGCATTTGCACTACTCTTTTTTAGGAAATGTTCGAAAAAGAGCAAATCCGCATGTTACACAAACGCGGAGAAGAGCATGGAACTATAACTTGTCGGATAGACGAAAAGGAAAATTTTGAAATTACTACTTTGAGGTCGGTAGTAATAGGATTCGGATCTTGAGTAATGTTTGAAAAAATAAATGGTGATCTTATCGTTCCAGGGTTGATGTAGTATGTGACGGTCGCCGTGCCCAAGTAGAATACACTACTGATTGGCAACTTGATGCAAATAGAAGAGATCTCACAATCAACTCGCTTTTTCTAGGTGAGCAATGAATAGGTTTAGAGAAGGGGAGGGGAAAGAGGAAACTGACTGCGAGTAAACCTGATGTGCTCCTCATAAATCCAGTTTCGAGGATTTTGTACACATGTTTGAGGATTTTTGGGTACAAACAATTTAATATGAACTATCTCTGCTTGCCAATCACGATCCATGCTTGATAAAATATCTGGTGACCAGGAACGGTTGAAGCTCTTGGAACATTGTTAGAGCAAGGCGAAAATTTGCGCAGATGTAATACACGTTATTTACAAGACTTTTTTTCCGCGCTGTGTTCCGCTTCGTTTTACCAGAGTTGTGACGCTTCCTAAATTTTGCAGTGTGGAACGGGAAGGGAAACAATTTCCGCCGTTAGGCGCCTCTTTCACGGATTACTGCTCCTGATAAGGTATGCGATAACATGTGGGGGACTAGCAGTCTGCGGAAGCGGCGCCCGTTCGCGGATTTCGTTCCTTTAGCCACAGGGAAGAGACGCTATTCGCAAATATTGGTAGTCACGCGGATCGAAAGCAATTTTTTACTTTACAAGTCTTGTAACTTGTGTAGGCATAGGAAATGAACATATGAGCACATGATTTCAAATGGAAGAAAATAAACAGGAAATTGATAATAGGAGTTTCTCGGGCAATATGCTTAGTGTTAGTGATGTATTAGAGCGTGTAGAATTTGGGCATGGGATGCGCTCAATGATGATAGCGCTGTGCTTCGCCACCAACACTCATCATCATCTGAGTCTATCCTGCTTCATTTGGCTAGAAATCTGATGTTGCCGACGCTGAGAACAGTGAGCCACAAAAGGGTTACTAAAATTGGATTGTGGTTATGTTGAGCTGGTGGCTTTCCCTCTTTCTTTTTGGAAATTCTGAGACTTAGCCAGTGTCATTTATAGGCTGTACCAACCAGCATCGGTTATGCGACGTCGCGACTGCGGCGACTTGCGACGATGCGATCTGGCGCGCCAACTCTGCCACGCGTTATGGCACGCCGAATGCGACGGTGCGTCGTCGCAAGGCCTGCTGGCGCGGGACCGATGCCGGCTGATACAGCCTATATGTTGATTCTACCTGACCAATCACCCATTCGTATCCTAGGCCGCTGTTTACATTTTAGAAGGATTGAAGCACACTTTTTTTGACTTGGTGTTTGGGTTATTCAAAACGTGTAGAAAATCCGCAGAGAATCTGCAGTGGTAGTCTACATGAAAGGCAAATAAATCGAATTGACAGCTTCAGTATCTAGTGCTTGTTTTTTTTTCTTTTTTGAAAATCAAAATGTATGGTTTTTGAGATTTGGACGGGAATGTGATAGACTACTTCGGAGGTATTCAAGATGTTGAGAGGAGACGAGTAGCTTTCGTAGGTGATGCTGTGCAGCGAATACAAGAAGATTATCTTAGAATTCTCAGGTAGCAGTTGAACTTCTGCAAGAAGTTTACTGACTACCTTTCCTAGCTTACTTTCAGATACTTCCGGTTTTTCGGTCGTATCTCTGCATCTACAGAACACGAAATCGCTACGTTAGAGGCTATCAAGCAAAATAGTCATGGACTGGCGGTGATTATTCCATCATTCTACTCTAAGTATCTTGCAGCTGTTTGCAATGTTTTCTTCTTGCAGAATATTAGTGCCGAACGAATATGGGCAGAAATGAAACGAATCGTAATTGGTCGTATGGCTGATCATGTACGTTTGCCTACATGAATTTGATTCAAAAGCTTTGGTGCTTAGTTAGTGCTTCTTTCGGCAACTATTGATACCGAAAGACGATTACCATGACTGTAGTGCCGGCAATACTTGCGCGTGAGAAGTGGCTGTGTGGCGCAGGTCCCCAAAGTTTGCACACTTTTTATGCGAAAGCGTCGATGCGCAAAAAGTCTATCAACTGCCATCTATTCAACCACATTGTCAAAGGTAGCGGCTCGACAGAATGACAAATCTGGGATATTCATCGTTTTCGGTTTCCTTGGAGCTAATTCCAAAACTGTGCTTTGTAGCTTCAAAAGATACCAATAATCCGCTTTTCCAGAAGTGAAAAGTGCTATTGGGGCGGACGGTATATGCCTGCCCTCGAGCGATCAAGGGCAGGCATATGCCGTTCGATCGGGGCTCGTGGGTACGGTAGGTACGGTGTCTCCACTCATAAGCCAATCGCGCTCTAGAAAGCAGGATACGCGATCCGCCCGAATAGCACTTTTCACGTCTGGAAAAGCGGGTTATTGATATCTTTTGAAGCTACAAAACACAGCCTTGGACTTATCGTTAGCTCGTCCAGATGGAACCCAGAACGATGAACATTCCAAAGTTGTCATTCTGCCGAGCTGCTGCCTCTAAGTCTCTGGCATAGCACAAGCCGCGAACATTGCAACGCAATTTATGCTTAGAGATCTTAAACAGAAATCATAACTTATCTGTCGCATGATCGGGGCTTGTATATGTACGCGGTGATTGAACTATATACCATTTCTTTGCTCAGACTGCTTTCTAGGTCGTTCGGTGTATGCTGGAAGAGTGTAAACTTCAACAGTATCTGGGACTTCCGGAACACTCAAATGTGGATCGTTTTGCAAAAGTGTGTGCTTTATCTATTTACTAAACAAGCTTTCAACTGATGGTCAGACTACTGCAGACGCGGAGAAACCTTTCGTTAATGTTTCTCAGTGCAGTTGTACATATCACTTTCAGGTTTTTGCGAAGTACGAAGGAAGTTTGGAGCCGATGACCATGGTTGCTTCGTTGTGCGAAAAACCTGAAGACATCGCTTGTTTTCATAAGAAGACCAAGGTATGTTTCCCATTCAATTTGGCAAAGACATCGACGAGGCGCAATTGAAAGAAAGGCCGACGGCAGTGTCTCTGCAAAGTGGAAGGGGGAGGGGGAGGGTAGAGGCTGCCAGGAGTTTTTGAGTTGCAATGTCAGCAACTGAGGAATCATGAAGTCTGAAGTGGAGCGAAAAAAGCTTACAGAACCTTGAATCTACTCGCAAGTTGTTCCGGATCCAGGTCCACTCCGGAATCCGCCCATCCACCGAATCTCAAGTTGCAGGCTGTGATGAGCATATCGCGCACATCAAAGTCATCGTCACATCATTCGATTATTTCGATGGTCCGGATTCTAAATAATCAACGGTGTGAAAAGCACAGAAAACCTTTCTTTGTGGCCTTTCTTTCAAGAACGCGAAGCGCAAATCTCTGCTCCGGAGGTGCGCCATATTTGGGAGAGCCGCGGAGCACCAAAATGGGTGAAATGGCAGGGCTCCGGAGCGCTCCAGAGCGCGAAGTGGCAGACTCGCGCCATTTGCCCGCCGGAGGTACAGTCGAGTAGATTTAGCGGTAAATATAGTGTGCCTGCACAGAAGGTGAAATGCGGTGAAATTTGCGCGTGAACAAGTAGCCACGTCAGTACCGCGGGCATCTTGCGCGCGCAATTGGCCGGCGTCACAGTCGAAACTATTTCTTCACGCGCCAATTTTACCGCATTTCACCTTCTGTGCAAGCACACTATATTTACCGCTAAATCTACTCGACTGTATCCCTTCGACTGTTTGAGCAAGTGCTTTCCCTTGTGCACGTCACGTCGAACCGTCAAGGAAATATAGCGGGATTGGCGGGCACGGAGTCACATGGCATGATGGAGGCGTAATCGGACTCACTTATCGTTAGGGGGACCTGGGCAATGCTTTTAACACAACGACAAAGCCGATTTTTCGATGAATGCCATTTCGGACCAGAACATATTCCGCGATATTGAGTTTGTGTAATATTTTCTGGCCGCTGATGGGTCCTATGGTCTGAAGCGTCAGTCTTTTGGGAGGTATTCCAAAAGATGTATACAAGAGTTTATTCATTCCGAAAAAGTTTGATTATAAACTAGCAGAATCAAAAACTTCAGAATGCATATGATCCACCGGTGGGTCGTATTGTCGTGAATGTGTTAAAGAGCATAGGTTTCCACAACGATTTTGCATCTCGATTTCGGCGAGCTTCACCTGTCAAAATTCACCTGTAGAACCGGTAAACTGGACTCATTTTCATATTGTACAAGCTACATTTTCGGATACCTAACGGGTGAACCCCAATCAGCAAGAAAAAAAAACTGAGTTCAAATGGTGTCCACGCGCTCTTTTGAGGAAAAGTGAGCGAGTTAGAGCGCGCAGAGTTAGGTTGCTGCGGACACATCGGTGCATGAGCTTTGTCGACGTAATTTGTTTTGACTTCCATGGTTTGCCAACAGCCAACATTGGGACAGGCCCAAATTCTTCTCTAGAGCACGTTAGGGGACCGGGGCAACTTAGTGAATTTATTGTAAGGTCTGCTGGTAGACTGCATACCTATCTTGGGAGCCAAGTTTTTTTGACTTTGTTCAAGCCTTCTCATCGCTTATATAGTCTACTCTTTTTTTGCAAACTGTCTTACAGGGGCGGATACCCAGCAGCAGATCGAAAAGAAATGTTCCTCACTTAAATCTACTGAACTTTATGAATAAAGATGGGGCCGTTTGGCGTTGTAAGCTCGTTGCAGCCTATTAGTTAGATATGTCAAAGGTCACCTGTTTTTGGTTAGGAATAATTAAAATCATCTTATGACTTTGTAAAATAGACCAACTTTATACAACTTTGTTGAGTCTTTGCCGCCGCTTTCATCTCTTGGATTCGGTAAGCCGCGAAAAATTTGGGAGCATCTTTCGGGGGGGGGGGGGAGGGGTATAACGATATTACTCCAGAATTTCCTCCCACCACACTTCCATCTTTATTCACTTCACTTGTCTCTGAATTACCATTGCTTCAAGTTAGCCTTACTCACATGAAATAATTGGTCATATTCGTTCATCAAAAGTTTTGTGATTATTGTAAGAGCAAACGATCACTAGAATTTTAACACTCAAATTAAGGCCATTTATAGTGTTGCACAGTCGACAATGTACTTGAAGTACTCCTGAAAAATAAGGGTAATTAAGGGCATTTGGATGCTTTAGGCGTCGGACAGAGTTCATTCGATTTCATCGCCGCGATTCTACCAACAAGACAAGTTACGAGTCTTTACATGCCGATCGTATCTTGCAGTTCGGTTGTGATCCTCAATATGGCCAATCGTGACTTACTATAACATGATCAGAATGCAATGAGCTCGTAACTGTTCGTCTTGTTGGAAGAATCGCGGCGATGAAATCGCGTGAACTCTGCAGGATTCAATAAAATTGGCGAGGATGCCTAGAAGCTGAGACACGTTGTGTTCTTTACCCAGCTTTGTGTGCGGACATAGGATTGTTTAGAAACGATGAAACTTTTTTCTTTTTTGTGCAGTTTGATCGATTACGGATTGCACACTATGTACCGGTGTTTTTGATTGAGTAAAGCCAAAAATAAACGTACACTTAGACCTGAAGAAACTTTGGTAGAGAGATGATTGAAGGCGATGTTGTATTTGATAATGATTCCACAAAATCATTTTGGCTGTACTGCACGTATATGTTAATATTGACTGCGTATATGCAATCATTTAGCTATCAAATGCGGAACGCGTGCTTGGAGAATTTGTTGTCAGTCATCGCAAAGAGGCTGAGAACGCGTTAGTGAATGGAGATATGGATTGGTGGAAGGACTTAATCGTGGAGTTGGACGTTTCACCCGGCCATGGTAAAAACATCCTCATTTGGATATCTGATGGTTTCTTCTTTCAAGATCAACAAAAAATATCTGGATTGGAATTGGTCACACAACTTGCAAAAGCTGTCTGTGCTGAGCGAAAGTTAATTGAAGAACTCGATTCATGGCCCTTGCCACAATTTCCTGTGAAAGGTTGCTTGCAAATAGCATTTCCATCAGAGTATATCGTCAACTTTTCATTTTAGGACTAGATCTCATGTCATGTGGTGTAGATCGAGGGCCTAAAATGAAGCTCACCCTGACGTATCTGTTCGGCATTTGGCAAAAAGTCAGTGTCATTCCGATGTTACCTTCATCAAAATCTGACCACTATTTGTTTATAGAGTCGGTATGAGATGACTAAGGAAGAATTGCTTAAGCATGCTCATGATGACGGTATCCCAAGTCCCCCAGCTTCTGTAAAAATGACTAAGAAACGTCGCCATGAAGAAGAAGCTTGACAATGGAACAAAATCATATTAATTGCAAGGCGTAGCCAATACAAATCCTTTCAACAACCTCAAGTTGACGGCTGGTGAATCCCTTCTTTGTCCTCAGCTCATCCAAAACTATGACTTTTGTGTTATAATGCGGTGCAGTTATCAAAGTTAAATGAATTATATAAGTCTACTCTCATCTAAGCATGCTTCATTCACATGTGCCGAACATGAGAGCGGTTTGGATTTTTGGCATTTTTCCTATCAGTGAGTACTCCATTCTGTTGAAATACATCTGAATGTGGGCTACGAAAATTTGCAAAAATTCACGACTTTTTCGAAAGTTAAACCCTTCGCACCATCCTTCACTCCCAGATTATGCTACCATTTTGCACCAGTAGAACCGCACCAACCTTTTTCGATTCAAGCGTCGACGGTGACACATGTGGCTTGTCCCTCATATGAAACAAGAAGCATACTGTGTGCAGAGATTATTCTCTTGACCATTTTAGGCCTCACTTTTTCAAGTCCGCCCTCGAACCCTCCTCTAAACCTTTCTCCCCTTTCGGTGTAGGTATAGTCGTCCTCACCCCACTAGTCGGTCAGTGGACGGATTTGAATTCGAACAAGAGCAGGCCAGAGGCGGCAGAGTGCGACATCTCAACCCTCGTTCAGGCTTTGCGCATATTTCTTTATGGTTTTTTTACTGTAGTCGTTTGTTAATCTTCGTGTTATAAGAATGTTCGTTTTCAACATACTATTTTATTGTCGTCTTGTATACTGCTGTGCTCGTCACTTCAAGTCTGAATACAAATAATTACAGAAACAATACAGATGGGAAACCTCTGCTGTAAATCTTTTTCTTTTGTAGTAACATGTGCAGAAGTATTGTTCTAGTAATCATTGTCACAAAAATTTGCCATCTGCGTTTTTAGAAGCTTAAATAAAATCACCTAGACGAAAACCGAGCATAACTGCGCGAAACAACACTCAACAATAACAAAACGCAAATTTGACTAGATCACTGACATAGTATAGGGGCCTGCAGGATCGCGAGAGTCGGACGTGCGTACGGCCATTGCGCCGCGCACGTCTGATGTCACTAAGGCGGGTGCCAGACTTATCCGCTCCAGTCGGTTCGTTCGGTTCATAGGTCAAATCATTACACTGTTCAAGAGCAAAGATGGTGAATCGAATGAACCTGTTCAGGATAAGCCTGGTATCTACCTGAATCGTCGGACGTCATCTGACGTGCGCGACGCAATGGCCGTACGCACGTCCGACTCTCGCGATCCTGCAGGCTCTTATACATGAATCAACGAGCAGCGATGTAAAAAACCAAAGAGAAATATGCGCAGTTTTGAATTGAGGGTTCGGGTGCTCTGCCGCGACCGGCCTGCTCCAGTTTGAATTCGAATTCCTCCACTGATCCGACTAGTGGAGTGAGGACGACTATATAGCATCCGGTCGTTTGTCAAGCCTCAGTTGATGCACAGGACGCATACATGAAGCTTCCTCTGCATTTCAACTTGTTTTTTCGGCGATCTCAGCCCTCAGGCTGATAATCAGAGCTACAGTTTCTTTTTGTACACTGTCTGATGTATCAAGGTTCTTATATTATTTTAACGGTGACTGTGGGACTTGAGTGTGTTGCCACGCTGGATTGCACGCATGAGTGAGCAATCAAACTTGGTGACTAAACTTTTATCTCTAACAACTATTTAATCAGTGATAATGCGTCGATAAATAACAAGTAAATATAAACGCAACTAATTCTAGAAATAAAGTAACGAGACAGCAAGAAAACAGAATGAAGAGACAGAAATGCAAAGACTGTGATTACGGCCAGTATCGGAAAACTGTGCCCAGACACTCGCACCGGTCGGCGGCTGCGCTATGAATTTGGAAGCTAAATGTCGGCCGGTGACCGCTCTTGGGAACATACCGAAAGACGAGAAAAAGCGCGCCTCATAATTATTTGAGGCGCTATTCCCACATATCGGCTGGCGCCCGTGCCTTTCCGGCCGGCAGTCAAGCTCATACCGGCTGGCGGGCATAGACTTCGCGGCTGAGTGAAATCAACACCATCTTTACCAGCCGGTGCGAGTGTCTGTAGTGATTCTGTGAGTATTAGAAGATAGGTCTCTGTGTGCTGTGGCCAAGAGGATAGTGTAATATAAGAAACTAGCTGGCTTACCCGGCTCCGCCGTATGTTCCGAATAGAAAATTCCATTTCTTAACCGATCCAGACCAAACTTGCCACACATACACTTCGGGCCCCGGCGGGTGTCACAGTCCACTTTTCGTTATCGATCGATGTCGAAAAGTAGCCTATGACACCCGCCGAGGCCCGTAGTGTATGTGTGCCAAGTTTGGTCCGGATCGGTTCAGAAATGGAATTTTCTATTCGGAACATACGTACAGACAGACATACAGACAGACAGACATACAGACAGACAAACAGACATTCAGCTTTATATATAAGATTTCAAGACCACGAAAATGCTGGCAAGAGAAGAATGGAAAGAAAAGTGATACACACATTTTAAGCTTGCTATGATCTACTTTTATACTGAAGCAAAAAAAGATAAACAAACTGTCAGCGAGCCTTTGAAATCTTCTCCTATGATATAAACCCATCCCAAAAAACACGACGGCTAGATTGGTCCGCCAGCATGTGCGGCATGAACGTTTGTTTTGAATAGACGCCAAGCACAGAACAACGCCCAAGCGAGAGATCACGACACGCACGGTTCGCTTTGCTGCTGCAGTAGATTTGTTGAAATACGCAAGCGCAAGTGTGGTTGAAATATGGAGATGGTGATCGTCAGTAAGGATAGGAATGGAAGCATACCATCATTGTACCTCTCACATCCCATCTCAATATTCAATATGCTCTCGTTCGTTTCTCAAGCTCTTCCCAATCATGTCAACTGAGCTAATTTTGGAATTATTCTCCACTTCCCTTCAGATTTTAAAATTTTTTTAAAGAATCTCGCTTTTGAGAATAATTGCTCCGTTTGAGTTCGCTTTTTCTCTCCAATATGTGAGCGTGAACGCCAGAATCATAGTGGATGAGCACTATGCAGTGATACTTAGAGCAAAACGCTATTTTAGACAATGTTATTCACGGTGAAATGTTGAGAAAATCTCCGAAAATTTCGCTTTTGGGAGCAGTTGCTCTGCTTGAATTCGATTTTTCTCTACAAAATGTGAGCGTAAGTGCCCGAACGACATTGTGAAAGGAAACATTATAGCGATGCTCAGGGCAAAAAGCTATTTCAGACCGATACCCACTTTCCGCCCAAATTTTGTGAAAATCTCCGGAAGTCTCGCTTTTGGGAGCAATTGCTTTGCTTAAATTCGATTTTTTTCACAAAATGTGAGCGTGTTATCTCTGAATACACTTCGGGCGGGGCGGGTGTCATAGGCTACTTTTCATCACCGATCGATATCGATTTTATCGACTTTTTGCAGAGTTCACCTATGGGGTTGGATTTGGCACAGGGAGGTAATCGAGCATGCTGATTATGAACACAATATTAGTTTTTGGGACTATCCATTACTTTTATCGATTTCGTTGATTTTTTTGCAAAGTTTAAAGGCAGTGGCTCGGCAAATCTCAACCTAGTCAAATTTTCGCTTATCCTGGGGTTCAATACGCTGATTCCAAAAATGCACTATTAAGAGCTTGTAAACGGCGAAATTGAGCGTTTTTCAATGCCCTTCTCTTTGGAATTGGACGAGTGGAGCAAGGCCGATGACGCTAAATCGTTGCGGGAACCAACGGTTATAGCGTTGTGGCGGGCAGCCTCCAATGGTGAGAAGGAAATTGCCAACTCGTCCAGATGCGTGTAAGATTGGCCTGCGCGTGTAAGTTTGAGAGCGATTTTCTTGGCAGGGTAAGCATGCTGTGCAATCGGGATTCCACTGTTTTCATACTTGGGCAATAAAGAGCCTACCGCGTTGAAATTTTTAGTTCTTTAATTTGCCGAACCATTGCCTTTAAGCTACGGGGCTGGGAGTTGGCACAGGGGGGTGATCGAGCATGTTGATCACTAAAACAGCGGGAATAGGGAGTTGGCATGTATAATCGGGCAGAGGGAAAGGTTGTACAGGGATAGGAATAGGACCTTTATCATAGTGTTTTGTCAGGGCCGGGCGGAGCCGGGTAAGCCAGCTGATCACTAATAGCTGCATCATGAGAGAAGTTGTTCTTTGACCGCATCTTTCGCGGCACAAGAACGCAAATGGTAATTCGTGTACCCCGGCCTCGCATTAAGAATATAGTGTAAGGAAATTTTTGAATACGCACGAAATGCTTTTGATCGTACTCAGAAGCCGTGATCATGTGCGTAAGCGGAACCGAGGAAAAACTGATTGCTTCTTAGAAGCTGCGACAACATCTGAATTGGAAAGGAGGAAAAAGCTGCCTTTAGAAGTTTTAGCAGGACAATTATGTCGACACCATACGATTTATGACGGTTGGTAACTTAGCATTCAGAAGAAGAAGGAGCAGAAGAACTTGTAGCATCCTGTTTATGGAGCGCTATATAAGCTCCTAGTAGATAGCTGTTGTATGTTATGCTATGTAGTCGTCTCTTTTGACTTCTGCTACACTTTTCTATTCTCCTTCTGAGAAGGGGTCTCAGTTCGGGACCCTATCGATGTTTCCGGAATAATGTTGCTTCTCCGCATGCTGTACCTTCTCATACTGTTTCCGTAAGGGAATCTTCTCTCTCTCTTTGCTAAGTGTGCTTTCTAATACTAGGGATTAGCGTGGATCTTAAGATAAACTAGTGTGTCTGTATGTGTGAGTGTGCGTTCTCCGCTCCAGTAATAAATGGTTGTTGGGAGATTGTGTTCCGTTGACCCGAAACGATTGCAACATAGCGTACTATTAGCTTCTTATGGTTGTTTATGGGGTGTGCCCGCCGTCAGAAAAAGCAGCGTTACAACGTTTTTCTTTGAACGGTAGCGTATTGCTTAACGGCCACTCGGGTCATCCCCGACGTAGATTGATAGTTATGGGCTAAGGTCGCGCGCCCTATAGAGAACGGCAAACAGTAGAATTTAGAGTAAAAATCCACCACTACGGAACTGAGCGCGTACCTTACAATAGGGACCTGGGCTGTCATCGCTGTGAACTGTGACGTGGTCTCCACGTAGTTGATCTTCTACAGTTCTTGTTGATATCCGCGAACATTCTCAAGGTTCTCTTAGGATTCCGCAGCCGTTAGACTTCGTCTGACAATGGGCAGGTCCCTGCATGGATTATAGACGGTAGTACGGCCGATATTTCTTACGATAGAAGAATAATGTGGACTTTCAGCATGCATTCAGGTGCCGTTCCAGACAGCGATGGCATTGTCCTTCACTACCCAAAAATGGTACTCGGCCAGTGATTGAGGTCCCTTGGACAGGCGTCTGAATAGTGCTGTCCGCAGTGCTTGCAGAAGACATACATAATGAGCTGGCTAAATTTCAACTCTCCGCCACCTAGTCGTCGTGCCGGAGAAACTTCAGCCAGTCTCCCTGTGCTCTTTCAACCACTTCCTTGGCAAGAAGTTCCTTGTAGCGCTGACGTTTGTCTATGGTATGGTCCTCTGCTTTGAGCGCCTTCGCTTTCGGCTTCCTATGTGGTGGTGATGTCCTCTCTGATCGCTGAAGCTATCCTTCGTTATTCTACTATGGCCGTGGACTGAGAGCGTCTGCATGTCTTCGGGCGTCGGTCCTCCAGCGGTATACCCTCCATACGGTGTCTAGCCCTCTCTTTTGAAGTCTCGACCGTCAGATGACCTAAAGTTTTGAATATTCTCTGCCTCTCCGGTCCACTTTTGAAGTGAACTTAAGGCCTAGAAACCGCTGCTTCAGGCAAGAGATCTTTTGATGTACTCGTACGAGCTTACCTTGGATTTTTTCCTTTATGCCTTACACTCCCCCTCCTCTTTCCATCGCCATTTGCCTCGCTACCGTTATACGCTTTTTCAATCCGTTTTCGAGTTTGATCATGTTTTAGCGGACTTCGTGTTTGAGGTGTGAGATCGCATCGGCGCGCATCCGATCCCCGTAAGAACTCTGTTACTCGGTTCAGTGCCTTCCCATCAAGTTGTTTTTTTTGGCGGCATCATTCATTCGTGAAGGTTGAGAGGGTTTGTTGGATGTCCTGCACGGTGCTGCTCCTGGTAGTTTCGTACTATACATTGTGAAGTTCCTCCTTCTTTCATGCGTGGGTGTCTCTTATCCCATACGATAGATTTGGACAATCGGTCACACATTATCCCTTATGTGAGTGTGTGACGGCTTCTGGCTGTGGGTAGCCTCTGTTTGTGGGCGTTGTGAGCCTCATAGTGTCGTTTTGTCCAAAAGCGCCCTGATAGAGCAGGCAAATTTCCTCTACATCGCCCACCGCAACAAGAATTTCGTATCATTCATGGGCCGTGAATTGATCCGTGCAGTGAATCAATTCTTCCAGCTCTTTGAATGCTCGAGTCGCATGTCCTTCAACATCAGTATGTACAGGGTGTCGCGAAAGTTTTGTAGCCTAGTATTTCTTTTGAAAAAACAGGAAAAAACAACAACATGGGGCGCGGAATTTCATAAGAACTTTATTCAACCAATAACAAGTACAATGCATCAATCAAACTTCGAAGTAGCTTCCTTTGACCTTGACGCAGGCCTTCAGACGTTGGTGAATGCAACCGTCGTAGCTCGCAGGTAATCTTCGTCAAGTTCGTCCTACTTCTGAAGGGCACGCTTTAAACTAATCAAATTTTTATGGGGTGTAGCGCAGACCTTGCTCTCAAGGACTGCCCATACAGAATAGTTAAGCGGGTTGAAGTCAGGCAAATTTGGAGCTTATTTGAAATCGTGATCAAAGCGGAGTTGTCCTGCACTATCACTGGACGACCTTGGCTTTGTGGGCTGGCGCTGAGCCTTGCTGGAACGTCCATTTGCGACCATCAAAGCGATTCTGGCTCCAAGGAGGTACTTCCTTTACGAGAATATCATTTAGATAAATTTCAGCATTGACTTGGTCGACAAAAATCAGTGGTTTTTTGCCGGTTGATGTTACCACGGTTCAAGCCATAAACTGAGCAGGGTGTCCCTTTGTAGGCAGCGGCCGACCCCATTTGCTTCCTTAACCGATCGAGCAAGTAATCTGTCCTTTTTTGTAGGCTTGTTCAGTCGTGGAAAATGACTGGTCCACTTCTCCTACTGTCCTCGACATTGCCTGTCTCAGGGAGCAACGGACTGTATATTGGACGATTCTACGTGAAATGCCGGTAATTGCTCCAGTCTCTGAATCATACCTGACTGGCTCGACGCAAAAAGGATAGCTCTATCAACTTCGGACACCATACTTCAAGAGCTAAACAATGATTTTTTTTTTGAATTTTGGGGGGAATTTTGAGAACATTTCACAGAATGTAGTGCAGAAAGGGCGAAAATATCCAAAACGAAATAAATTATGTCACTGCAAAATTAGGCTACAAGATTTTTGGGACACCCTACATGATCAACTCTTGACTGTTTGCGTCATCTCGTAATGGTTGTTTTTCAGCTCGATATAATCGAGCTTCGTTTGCGTCAACCGCTCTTTGAGTTCGTAGCACTAAGCGCCGAACTTTGTCTTCTGCTGCACTGAGCCTCCGTCGGCCATGCCGGTGTTAGCTTGATAATAGTCATTGTCCTCTCGAGCTCCCGTCTAAGTTTTCTTTCAATTCTTCGATGACAGCCATTAGAGAAATCCTTGTCAAATTACGCTCCTCCCCTGCGACCATCTGCGTGGTGAGTCTCGGCTTGGAAAGCCGTGCCATTCAATCTGCAAAGGAAGCTTTGAACTTGCAAGCGACAGATCACCATCCCTCCGGCCTTAGCAACAAAAGTTGCTTTTTATCTGAGTTTCTGTGACCCGAAGCCTTATTTATCGTTGGCTTATATCTTCATCAGACTGGTGATTATCTAGGGCATTGAGGGCTTACCATCGATTGTCATCTTCGTGAATGCATGCGTAGTAATCGCACGTGCGATCGGCCATGTTACGTATAGCCTGTCTGAAGTTGGCTTTCACTATTGTCAGGTTTCGTCGCAGTTTCCAGGCTTTTTTTTAGCACGTCTTTTCAGTTTTTTTTTCTGCTGGCTAGCCCTTCATCCCTTCGGCGACTTCCCATTCCTCCCCCCCCCCCCCCCCTCCGCCCCACCCTCTTTTATAATCTTACGGGAGTGATGGTCATGGAACCGTGGAAGGAGACAGTGCCCGAACGTGGCAATGGGATATGAAATTTTGAATTTACAAGTGCACACTAATATGCTGCCATCTGGAATGATCTCATCGGCGACAGCATGTCGTAAAATTAAATAGTATCTAGACTTCTGTGGGCAGATGGCTGGCCGGGAAAATCGGAAAAAAGAAGAAGAAAGGGAATGCAATGGCAAAGTAATTGAGGCTTGGCAATATGCCCGGGCAATGAACATGAATAGCAAACGCGGCGTAGAGTTTAGGCTAGGCGGCCTGTGGAACCGGAGTTGCTGGGGCACTCGACACGCCGTTGAAATAGCCTATGCGGTGCATTGCCGGACGAGTTCGACCCGCCAGCTTAGCTAAGCTGGAATCGCCCACTCCAGTTAAGTGGGTGCAAATAGTGGAGGAATGGTTGTGAATTGCGCCTTAGGTCTTAGAACGTACGCTTGTGAGGGTACGACTTTTGTCCGGGACCTTAGGTGTGGTTTGGTATTGCATTGCCGTCAACCTTACCGTGGTGCATGGTGCATCTTTTTACCCAAGTTTGTTGACATTACAAGCAAACATGCAAATGTCATTGGGCAATACATGTACTACATTCGCTGATTCTGCCAAGTTATATGTGCATTCAGTTATTTTGCCAGTTTGCGGAATCTCTCCAGCACAGGAAGATCTAGTATTGTCAGCGAACGGGACTGAAACAAATCTGCAGGTGGTTTGTTCTTCCTGGAATCTGTTGACTTCCACTCAGAACTCAGTTGTTCCCAAATTTCTTTTGAAATTTTATAATAAGCTTCTCCGTAATAATAAAGTTAAGTTGAGATGCTTTCCGATGGTGCTTGTATTGTAAGATATTCCGGAGTTTGTGGAAACTATGACTCCGTCTCCTGTATGATTAGCATGTCGTTGTTTATATGAAATCTTGATGCAAGTCTTTTTTCATTTTTTTACTAATGTTACAGAAGTATGAAGAAATAGTGATTTTGAATGGTAGAATCAAATTAGAGAACGCTTCCATCGAAAGGTTTTTTCTACCTGAACTTACCAAAATTAAATGCAATTCAAGTGAGTTTTCGTGAGAATATCAAGCAATTTTGTTATAGTTATTATCGAAGCTAAGGCATACTCTACGATGCTGTTACCCTGGTCTCCGTTCCTGGTCTGCACATGGTTGACATGTATGCAACATGCTACAATATGTTTTTTTTCCGTATTACTTTATGTTCAATTCATATCGTATTCTGCTTTAACTACAGGTTTTTACGGTTCACTTACTTACACATCATATACACTCTATACGTCTCACTCACAGCATATCCCTCACCGTAGCCCAGTCCCACCCCCACCTCTGTCGGATATCAGTCGCGCATAGTTGTTAGACGTTCATCCCTGCAACCCCCAGTGAATCTTGCTCTCTTCTAAAGCAACTATTCAGCCGGGGTTACGTCAGCTAGCTTTTACCGGGGGGCTCGCTGACACCCAAAAACAGGGTCTTCATTAACTTTAGAAGAAGCAAGATTCTACAGATTGTCTGGACATAGCGCTTTTTCCTTTGGTATGCTGCAATCAATGGCTACATCGTCATTATCGAGCTTCGGTAATTGTCTTGTTTAGTTTTGTTTCCCATTTATATCTCTTCTTGCTTCTGTGACTGAGGATTGGCTGGTTTCTTGTCTTAATTCTGTGTTACCTTGATTTCCTGTTCGATTTTGATTTTTTAAGGGTGCACCGCGAGTGTATGCATAAAATAAAAATAAAATAAAAATAAAATATACCTCTCCAGCGGCTCTCATACGTGACATAGTGTCCTTTTCGTTTTTTCATTCGTGAGGTTTCAAATTATTTAGAACTTCCTTATGTATTATCCCTTCTACATGGTAGCGATGTAAGAGGAGGTTGAAAGAGGCTGCACAGTTGCCCTCCGAGTTCGCATGGATTAGCCCGTTTGTTTGGTGCTCTCCTCTTTAGATTCGCTCGCAAGTTATAAACTCAAAGCTCTCACACCATGATACACATCAAGTTGTTTTACTTCAAATGATATGTCTTCATTATGGTAGCGATGTAAGATGAAATGAAAGAGGTTGCCCGCCAAGCACGCATGGTTTCGCCCATTCTTTTGGTGTTTTCCTCTTTAGATCCGTTTGTAAGTGATAAGTTCAAGAATTACACACCATGGCTCTGGAAGAGCGGAAGTTTTATCCGTTTTTTTAAACAAATGTACATATACCTCAAAAAGGACATATTTGACTCAAAGTGTTCCCTAAGACTCATAGCATAAGACCACTGGCGATGCATATGATTATCTTAATTATCTTGAATATCTTGACATTGTGTTATTTGATGTTCATTTCTCATAACCACGTTCCTTTGGCGCATCAGTGGATGCACTCAAATAAATGAATAATAATTATGTTGGTAACAAGGCGTTGGTTATAGTTGACTACAAGGAATCGACCAGGCTGAAAACGCGCTCATGTGTCTCTTGCAGGCTAACATTGGCATTCGCGCGCATGATCATCATAGCGCCAGTACTCGGTAGCCGCGTTGCAGGCACGCTCGCGTTTCAGCCTACAGCGACCCGGGCCGTTTCGTGTAGCCGACTCTGCTAATGTTGAGGCCAACATGTTGTTGCATGTTGCGATAGGTGTCACAGGTCAGAAATGCAGTGTAGCAGCAGTCGTGGAAAGGACTGTGTGCTTTTGAATAATTTCCCGTCGCTTTCATTTTAGAGCGCTTACCAACACGTCTAACATGTTTAAAGCTTACAACACGAACAGTAATTTGAATGAGCTATGGTGCATCATAGCGTTGGGCCTCGGGCATAGTCCACATATACCACGTAACAGTGTCTTGTTAGGAGTCCATTGCATGTCGATCCTCCAAAATTTCGGCTGTGACAGTTTTCCGACACGATTAATCATGACTAGCTACCTGTTCCGTTGAAATGCTTGTGCAGAAATTTGTTAGCAGCCACGTTCACGAATTAGAGGGATTTGACTCTGAACTTAGAGATTTTTCATGTCAGAATCCTTCAATTCTCCTCTTGCAATTTCTAGGACCTTGTATATCAATTCGTAACAATGCAAAGCTCAAATCAATTTGGTTGCCGAAGTTAGAAGAAATTGATACTAATGATGCAAGAGCTCATATTCCTGTGAGTTTCGCTACCTTTTATCTGAGCAGCATTTATATCAGGTTGTCCCATAAGTTCCGTCCGTTTCGATTTTCAATCGCAATAAGTCATGAACTTCTTGGTTTTAGACAGATTCCAAGGTACCAGTGGCGTACCGAGGGGGGGGGGGCGGGGGGGGCGCGCGCCCCCCCCCCCGAGAATGGGTCGCGAAATTTTTGAAAGTTACTTATATGGGTTACAAAAATGTGTAAGTGACTTGTTTATTTTTGTAAATAATTAAAATAATTTTTAAAAATTTTTAAAAATTCAAATTAGCCTTGTAAAAAATTTTTTTTCGGGGGCGTGGCTGACGCCACGCCCCCTTTTTCCAAATTTTAGGGGTCGGGGACCCGAAAAAACTTTGGGAAGCACCCCCAAAAATTTTTCGGAGTGCGTGGCTAACGCCACGCACCTTCTTTAGAAAAAAATTTTTGTCGCGCCCCCCCCGAGCCGAAATCCTGGGTACGCCACTGCAAGGTACCATTTGATAGAGCAAAGCAAGCTCTACAAGATAACTTTCTTGCTTTCGCACCAGTTTAAATCCATCTCAAGTTTGAAGCCAAAATCCAAAAAGATCCAACCGCCCGAAAAATAAAGAAAAAATCGTAACTCCGTTTAGAAAAATCCTAGAAAATTCCTAACTTGCTCACAGATACCCTATCCACATCAGACGTTTATATATACTGTTGCTGTATTTTTTACTTAAATAGAAATCGAGAAAACGAAAATTTTCATGTTTTTGCCAAGGTGATGCTGTGCTGTTCTCACACAAGTAGTTGTATACTGCAGACCAGTACAAGTACAGACACAAATTTTCAGCGCTCTAAAGGCTTTAGTTCTCGAGGAACATTGAATTTAGCTTCGTACAGTCGGGTGTTTCGTCTTAAAACGATTATTTCTCAAGAACTAAAGCCTTTAGAGCGCTGAAAATTTGTGTCTGTACTTGTACTGGTCTGTAGTATACAACTACTTGTGTGAGAACAGCACAGCATCACCTTGGCAAAAACATGAAAATTTTCGTTTTTTCGATTTCTATCTAAGTAAAAAATACAGCAACAGTATATATAAACGTCTGATGTGGATAGGGTATCTGTGAGCAAGTTAGGAATTTTCTAGGATTTTTCTAAACGAAGTTACGATTTTTTCTTTATTTTTCGGGCGGTTGGATCTTTTTGGTTTTTGGCTTCAAACTTGAGATGGATTCAAACTAGTGCGAAAGCAAGAGAGTTATCTTGTAGAGCTTGCTTTGCTCTATCAAATGGTACCTTGACGCCTGTCTAAAACCAAGAAGTTCATGACTTGTTGTGATTGAAAGTTGAAACGGACGGAACTTATGGGACAACCTGATACTAACATGATTTAGATGATTGCGTTGCAAGGTGATGCACTTGAGCTCACCAATGATGAAATCGAAAGATTGAGATATCTTACCTCAAACTCGCTCACTATTGAAGATTTGAAGAATATCACGAGTGTGGACGAACCCACTATCGGCAACAGTGAGGAGCCTGATAGTTTTAAAAATTTTGCGCTGGTCATATATACTTGACATTAGAAGATGTTGATGAATTCTGGCTTATCTTGTATTACGCTTAGAGCTTTGCCTTACTTCTCCATAATCTCGAGGAATCGAAAAAAACCCTTCAAATACATTTGACACGTTTCGGACCGCGAAATCGCGCGCGGCGAAAAAGAGTGTACTTTCGGCCGTTAGCCAGCAAAGGAACCTTATTCCGCAAACTCTAGACTACATCTGTAATCAGCATGATGGATAAGCTCCATATCCAAAGTTCTGAGTGAATTCGAAGTGTTTGAATTTTGTCGCTTGAAGGGGCTTTTGTGCTTTCTTGAAGGATAGAAACAAGAACTCAGATTCTAATAGTATTCAAAAGTATTTATGTTGTACACGGTACACATCAGTATTGAAACTACGGTTTTTCTCTTTGATATCGAAACAAAGGAAAGTTGCGACGTCGCACGCGTCGTTCGGGTCGCCGCACTTCGTTGCAACTGTTGTTCGATTTGTGCTCATATCTTCTAAACAAATATCGGCGGCACAACTCTACAGAGTCATTTGAAAAGTAGCAGCTTAGACCTTTGACTTAACAACTTTAGACTAAAAGGAAACCTGCAAACGCCAGAAACATCCCTCAAAGCAGCGTGCTGCACCATGTGCAGCACCGGTTCGAAACGTGTTAATTGCTGTAAGAAAGCGCAGAGAGAAAAGTGAGGAGAGTGCACGAAAGACGAGGAGTCATCCCGCGCAGCAATTGTGCTCCCTGTGCAGATGCCCTAACACTTATATGTGCTGTAAAGTTGACCGATTCGGGCTGATTTTACTGCTTTTAATTTCTTTTAGTTCCTCTCTATGCAGACATTGTGCTGCTTTTTGCGTGTGTAGCATTACTGTTATCATACTTTTGCCAATTAATAGTCCTTGCAATCACCTTATTTAGCGGAAGACAGTATAAGGTCAGTTGGTGTCTTCGAACATTGCCAAAGTTATACAAAGCGATATACGATCCTTTAAGCGTCAAGAATCGTCAATGATCAATGAAATGCTGCAAGTTCGTCAAGTTAGCATAGATGCTAAGACAACACGGTAGTGATGTTTGAAGTTCAAAAACTATAGATTTTCAAGTTTCAGTATAGTCCATGGTTTTCCACTTTGAAATAGTGGCTCAATCGAGTATCTTGTTTGGTGATCTTCAGAGAAAAGTTTTAATAAGGCTTTGAATTTCGTAATTCAAGTTTTGTCTCAGAATACACCAAAGTGCCCCTAATTAGCCCGAAAAACTATGAATCACTATGGCAACCACCGATCTTGCATAAAAGGCAATTTTTTCTGCAAAAAGTTGGCACCCTAAAAACATTTTCTAATTTTGGCCAATTTCTGATTTAGAGCTACCATCTGAGAAGAAAATGAGGGAATAGGAAATTTTTTTCTATAAATGACACAAATTCTTGTCTTTGTACGTGAGACTAATGCTTGCCACAGTGCTGCATGGACCAATAAACCAAAACATTTTTTGGTTATTTGGAGCTAGCTCGGCACTTGTACTTTTTGAGATCGACTTCAAAATGAAAATACTGAAGTCTCGTTTTTGGAAGCTTGGTTCTCTAAAGGGTGCGCCAAAATTATGTGCGCCGAAAGTGAAGTAAACCCACAACAAGCCAATCATAAAATTGATATGGATTGTATGTCACAGAATGCCGTAAGCATGCTCTATTAGAAGATCAAAATCCCAAAACGGTTCTAACTCAAAAAAGTCAGAAGTGCAGAAATCAGTATTTGTGAAAGAAAAAACGCATGCTAACGCGTATGATTAAAGTGTAAGAAACTCTGTTTTGAACTCTCCAAACATTCCGGTACCCAGCGATTTTAAAGATAAAAGTCAACCGAATTTCAATCGAGAACCTTTACCTGAGAGAAGTGCTAATCATAAAGATACATGCTGGACAATTTTTGAGAGCCTCTACCGGGTGCAGCGCACGCGACGAAGTCGGAGAAATTTGATATTAGATTGCCTTATAAGTCTTTTTATATCTGAACCTTTGAACTGATATTTATCAATACATAGAGCACAAGACTGCAAAATTGTGGATTATTCCTGAGTGAGTTAAACTATACAACACATATTTGCGAGGAACACAAACAGCTACAGGCAAAGTTTGAAAATTCAGCTCATTATTTTTTTTTGATTTCTCGCCATCATTTTTTTAGCCAGAAGCAACAAGTATATGTGTAGATATCTGATGGGGAGTGTATGTGTGTGAGCGAGTAGGAATTTCGCAGAGTTTTTTTGAAGTGAGACGATTATTTTCGTTTTTTCGGGAATTCGGATTTTTTTTATTTTGGCTCGAAACGCAATGCGGATCAAGCTTGGTACAAACTCTTGAAGGCTTCTTGTAGAGCTTGCTTTGATCTGCAGGGTACTATGCAACTACTAAAAATACAGAAAGAACTGGCTTTGGCGGTGAAAATTCGGATATGAAAAGATTCATTCATGAGACAGCCTAATAAATTTTCAGCAAGAAGTAAAATAGGCAAATTTACATCTTTCAGTCACAGAACAAAATCAAGCTTGATTCCTCGCTGAACCGGTTTTATGTTCGCTAGCGCTTAGGACAACACGCGCAAATAATTATGATGCACCCTATGATAGTTGAAGAAAAGTTGCATTTTGATTACATTCGTACACCGTAAGCCTTTTTTTCTACAATAAATCATGAAACTGGAATTGAAATTCAATAGCCAACAAATTTTTGCGAATCACGTTCGAAGGTTCCTAGAAACCTATTCTAGTCCGGCGAAGTTGTCAGATGGAGGTAATCATCAGTGTAGTGATTTTGATTTCTAGGAGTATACGGATTGGAATTCAAGTGCATAACTGCACATTCTTGCTTGATGACCTTTAAGAGACTAATCTCCCAGCTCTTTAACACTAAATTCACCGGACGTGCACAAAACTGCAGGTTTACAATTCTTTATTAGAATAATAAACTTAACAACATTTAGCTATCTGGTCGAAGATTTTCAGAAAAAGAATCCTTCAAAGAATTTTACTGAGGTATAATTTTGAATTTACGTAATTTTTTGGAATTTATATATACAATGTAGGCTTTACAAGCTGTTAAGAAGAATATCTCAGTGAGTTCCACATCTTTATTGAAACTTATTCAAGTGTAAACGCATCCGCAAATCATCTTTCAGAATATGCCTTCCATTCCAACGCGTAGTAGCCGTATGGCACTAAATGAAGTTATTGTAAATAAGAAGAAAGAAAAGCCTGCATAACCAAATTTATGAAAAAGTAATCAATGCAATGTCTTCTTAACACTTTTTCCAAATCTTAACGTACATGAACATTTGAAAAATAAATCTCGCCAAATAATGTACATCGCAAAAGAAGCTGTATTTTGACAATGTAATTCTGCATTGTGGTGCTTAAAAAAAAACAATCTTTTGAAATTCGAAAAAACTATAGTTTGCTTGCGGATGCGAGTCCCGGTCATCACCACATATAGGTAATTCCGTATAATTTCACACAAATGTGAAAAAATTGTTGAATGGTCAAACAGTAGCAGATTTAATCCCTGCTTATCACTATGAAATTCTGTGGGTGAGATTAACCAGACTATTTTGGTTTCAAGCACTGACCAATGACCCTGTAAGAGACTGATCTTAGTTTGCAAAAAAAAAGTGAGTGGAGCAATGTAATTGCGGAGCATGCTGAAGTCTTCATACTGAAATTCTGGAGCGGAAGCAGCATTCAGATGAGAGCATTTTGGAAAAAAGTTTGGGAAACATTACAAATAAATGCCTGTCCTTAGGAGGTATATCTCATGGAGAGAACTGTAAAAGGGAGGCTGCATCCCCTCAAGATCGTATTTTCCTCGCACTAGTTTTAAGCGCAAGTTCTACCAAATGCTTACCCGCCGCGGCATTGCTTTCTCATATTTTTAGCCGCAGAAGCATGACAGCGGAGAGAGGGCGATTAAGGGGAAGGTACTCGATCGAAGTGGCTCTTCTTTGTGAGCTGTATTCTGTTTCATAGAACATGGAACGCTGATTTCAAACTGGTTCTGATCTGCAAAGCGCTTTCGGGAGGAGAGTTATGGGAATTTTGAAAAGAACGCGCGATTACAGTGGAATCAATCAAATTTGTAGAGCTCAAGTGGGGTCATAATTACTGCCAGGGCGCTTTGTGCAATTTGTCTAATAAACTCATTCTAGTCATTTCTCCTTTTAAGCGCCGGATAGACCCCAACACTTGTTATCTTGGCCACACCCTTGAATTTTTTTACTTTCAAATTCCCTTAACTTCTCTTTCAAAAACGCATTATGGATAGCGAAAGCAGATTAGGGAATTAGCACTCCATGCTTTATAAGACAACACATTTCATATGGAGGCACCACTTCGACCAAGTATCCTTCCCTTGTTAACATAGGAAAAGCAATAAGAGAGTGGGTCGTATATTGGAGAAATCAAGCATATCTCTGGACTGCCTGAAGTGCCTGTTCTGGGAAACGGCTAAATTGGCTTGGATCTATTGGCTGTCCAACATGTTTCTTGTTCGATTCACCAAGGTTGCTCAACAAGTACTGTCGGGAGTGGGGCATTTGAAGGCGACCGCTCGCAAGACCACTACCCGGGCTTGATTGGCGACCAAAGCCCTGCCTCCCGCCCCCCCCCCTTCCCCCACTCCCGATGAATCAAGGGTTATAGGACATCTACGGTAAGTTTCACCTCAGTTTAGGCGGAAATCGAACTGGCGGAAGTCCGCTTCGCAATGATCCGCGCCGCTTCGCAGTCTGCGCCTCTTCATTCTAATCTATCTCGCTCAGCCAGTGGCGGTGAGGACGCGCTGCTCCACTTGAAGTTTTCGCCTACTCTGGGTTGAATAAGACTATAAAGTCCAATTGCCCGCGCCTAGCCGTGAACACTTACGCGCAGAGCGGTTGGAGACGTGGGGTTCCTGTGCGATAAAGGCTGTTCACATCCGATTATGAGCATACACTCCATTCAGACGTGATCTTGTGAACTTTTGTGGACTCATGTAGTTTTCATGCTGTTTTTCATGTTGACCGGAATATCATGAGCGAATGAGACCGCCTTTAGTGCCTTCGAAAACCAGTCGTCTGCTGGTGTTCAAGGCACGGCGCGAGCAGTTAGGTTAGGTGGCCTGTACATATCCTTCACGCCTTGCTATGCTTCTACCCTCCTGATGTTGTGTGTTACAGAAACGGTTATCTTCTGAAATATCCGACTTAGAAATGGTAATCGATTTGCCATTTGATTCACCTACCTAATCAGGATGGAAAAAGGTGTAAGGTCTGCTGTGTGGATTAGTAACTTCATGTTATATGATAACGTTACGACTTTCTTCGTACAACATCAAACAACAGACAAAATTGGGTCAGCAGTCTAAGGTAGTTACTGCAATTTTGAAGTAGTAAGTCATAAATAGGGTGTTTTCGCATGCTTGGAAATGTCATGATTTGACCTGGTCTAGACTTTCATCTTTTTCATCTCTTCTGCTATTTTACAATAGTACTGCTCGATTTTGAGAAGAGCCTAAACTACATTTGAATGAAAAAATTTGCTTGCTACGTGGATGAATCTCATTAGTGAACTGACATAATGTGAAAAATGGAAAATGTGAAAAAAGTCTAATAATTCGCTGCCTAGGCACCACGGCACAAAACACCTTTTTCTAACTCTTAATTATATGCGTGCTTAATGCTAGCACGTCCACATCAACTGCTTTTCTAACACGACATAAGCCGCTGTGCTCATAGTAGTAGATCAGATTAGAGTAATACTCTAAAGGACGTTGTTGACATGGAAATCTGCATAAAAAGGCATAGATGTAACAAACACTTGAGCATTCGCAAAAGTGTGATCTTTCCTTACAGCTCATATCCGTTTAGAGTAAAAGCAGTAAACTCTAGCAAGAAAAGATGCGCAAAGTTAAGACTGAGTTTTCTTTACTAGAATCGTCTAAGCAAACATCAACGTAAATGAGTCTGCTACGTTCGTTTAGTTTTGAATTCGCTTAAATTGTTCATAGTTCTCAAAATAAGCTGTTGCTAGTCCACAATATCAAATTAGGAGAACATTTGGGTGTTGAAAAAAAATGCCAAACAGACAGATCCTTAACCAGATTCTACGAAACTCGTTTCATATCTTTTTTGTTATCATAAAGCTTGTCGACCAATTGACGTCAAATATCTTAACCTATGACCAATTGTAGTTGAAAACTAGCATAAGATCGGACATGTACCTTACTCGAGTTTCTCGGGCCAATATATGTCCTAAGCTTAAAGGCAGCGCCCAGGCAAAGGACATATGGGGATGTGGGTAGTTTTGGGACCATAACGAAGACGGCCCGACCGGCAGTTCAAATGGCTTTCTAACGGCTGAGATATTCGCCTCCAAACTGGACCCCAGGATAAAATTTCGCATGGATTCATGGCGCAACATATCAGTTTCGCGTGTCGTCACGCGAAAGCATGCAAACACGCAAGTCACCCGATAATACGTTCCGTCCAGTCTTGAGGCTTATATCTCAGCCGTTAATGAGTCACTAGTGAACCAGTAATCAAGGGTGCCAGATTGCATCCGCGCACTGATACCGCCACGCGGTTTTCCGCTATTTGCTTTTTTTGAATTCCGCTTACGTTTCTTTATATGATAGATTTGCGCTGCCGTTTGGGCCGCGCCTTAGTAAGGGCCCCAAAATTACCTTCTACGTAAAATCCCTCATAGGTCCAGATTTGCCCGGACCACGCATTTAAGCTGTTTCTACAGAATCGCTGACGTCTCCATGGGATAAGTTCACATAGGATATCTCTAATTGCTCCTCCTTTCTCAATTATCTTCCACTAAAAGTGCCAGTAGTGGGAAGGCAACGGCAGGTTTTCCTCCACGATTCTACAAAGAACGTCAGTTCGCAATTCACCATATCGGCTGCGGACTTATTCCATGCAGCGCTGCTGTCCTGCAAAAATGTTACTTGACATTATATGTGACATCTTATACTAGTTGTGCGACTCAAGGACCTTTCAAAGAGCAACGACGGGGCCTGCCAAATACGAAACGCTAGCTCTCTATTGACGTGAGGTAAGGAACCCTTCCAACTACCATCGAGTGAGCGATTTTATAGAAAAGTTGTAAGAAAAACAGATCTGCACTTGTACGAGATTGCCAATAGAACCTTCTTCTAAGGAGCTGGTGCAGAATCTAGCAAGGCCGCCAAGAATATGAATATGAACATGCGGTGAGGAAACTGCGAAAAAAAGCTTGCAAAAATCAAACAGAGCCAATAAATTGCTTTGAGTATGTGCTGATTCTATTCTAATATTTATTATTAAATCATACTTTACGATATATTACAGTGCAACAAAGTTGATGATCTTACATAATTGTTAATAGTGGAACTGTATAGGACTTCGAAATCGTTCCACTGATGAAAAGCTATAACTTCTTCCTGACAGCGAGGAGCTGCAGAGATCGCGAGTTCCGTTTGGCTTACCTTTCTTAGAATCATAAATCAAAGTACTAACGAGGTAAATTCCTAGAACATATTAGCATGCATTCACGAAGTTACATGGCTCTGCTATTTGAACGAAATTGACTTACCGTATAGAGAGGAACACCTTCGTTAGCTGATTCAAAATGCTGATTTGCGACGCAACCTTTAACACCCAAAGATTGCTGGAGATAGAGATTGCTGTTCAAAAAGCCGGGCATACATCATACGATTTCATCGCCTCGCGATTCTTTCGACAGGACAACTGTCACAAGTCCGTTGCATACCGATTATCTTCTATTTCGGTAGTGATACTTAGTCGCGATTAATCGCATACGAAAACCACCACAACAGAAATGCAAGATGATCAGCTTGCGCTGGGCTCGTAAAAGTTGTCGGGTTGTCTGGTAGAAACGCGAGGCGATGAGATTCTGTGATGTATGCCCGGCCTTTAATAAATAAAACAATAAAGCACCCCTAGCAACAATAAAGTTTCACGTAACATTGTAAGCTTCTTTCAAAGCTTTCTTGTCATTCCCTTCCCCTCATGGGAGTTCTGGATAAGCTTGTGGTAAGTTGAATACGAGAGATAATCTTTTATGATAATCCAGTGAGCCCTTTGAGATTTGGCCTTAGTTGTCACTGAAGGCATTCAGATATACTCACGTAGTAGTATGACGAAGATAAAATCTGTAGCGATCGTTCTTATAAAACAGTCATGTATGCGAATTGCTATAAAGATTGACGGTTGTTACATGGCCAAGGACTTTTCCACAGAAAGGACAAGAGACGCTGTAAACTTTTTTCGATAAGAATTTTCAGTAGGTAATCTGCTCTGTAGCTGTAGTGTCAGTTACGTATCTTTCAGGCAATGCAGCTGTTTAAATTGCAGCAGTTCTGTGAAGCGGTTCCTCTAAAACTACAAATACAGAGTATCCCAAAAGTAGTTTGGGACATTTTTCAATCCTTGGTAACCCTTCACAAAGTCCTTTGCTTTCTTTCAAGCACCATTTAGAAGAGCACACCTCATACGGTTGCAAATCCCAGCATATAATGACAGTGTAGAATAGGGTGTTTAAATGGGTTGCAAAAATTTTCGAACCTTGTATAGGAGTGTTTTGAGATATGCTGACTTTATTGAGCAACTTTTTACGAGTTTTTCAAGCTTTTTAAACGGTTCACTCACATCTTGAAAAATGCTGAAGAAACTTGTTGCAGTTTACTTGTGAAAACTTGTGAAGAAAAACCTTGCGATAAAATAATTTCGCAGGCAATACTTAGTCACTGACGGCTTACTATCCTCTTCAAATCCTACCGTAATCCTTGAGCAATGAAAAGCGGTGATTCGCTCCGTACCGTTGATCTAAATTGGAGCCAAAGTTGAGCAAGAGGTCAGGCACAAGTCTCAAGTCGAAAACGCCCCCCTCCCTTCCCTGAAAGCCCCAAGCAACCCCTTCTTTCTCCTCTTTACCTCCGGAACCTCACAACTTGTGGTGATCCGTGGAGGTGAGGCGCTTAGAGTGTAAAACCTAGTGGTTAAAATCTTGACAACACTTTTCAGTACTATTTGAAATATGAAGTCTGATTTCTGGCCCAGGCTCATAGAGAGCATTGCTTTATCTTAGCCATAAAAAAGCTGACTTTTTTCATTTCTGAACCAAGTTAATCATGTTTGACAATTACGATTTTTAGACATTAGGAAACACTAGCAAATGCAATAGGTGATGGTTTGTAGAACCTTTAGAGGTATGACATGCTAATCATAAAATCAGGACCACTTACAGGACAAGCTTCTCTGGTGAGCTCACGGTATGTAAAAGGTAAGAGATGGACAATTGAAAGACTGGAATGACTGTCGGAGTTAATCATTATACAGTTCACAGTCATTCCTTTTCTGATGGAGTTGTTTTATTCACCAATCTAACGCTTATCTTCTTCACCATCGCAGTAATTCCTCAGTATTCTGAGGAAAACCCGCACTTGATTGCCCCCCTCCCCCCCCCCCCACCCCGTCTTACGCCCGATACGACACCGAGTCGGGCACGCCTGTTCCCTCGCCCGACGCTGGTTGGAGCCTGCTCTACATGGTATCGAAAACTACGGAAAACACTTTGTGGGAAGAGATTCACCAAAAATCAAAAAGTGTATACTTACCTTTAGGACACCTTGTATACAAGGTGAGCTCACAAATTTCTGAACCTGCTCTTACCTCACGAACTTGGTAAAATTGGCTCCACACAGGGAATATGATATCTGCGCAATATTAGAATGTGCAGATATGATACAAAACATAACAGACTTAAAGAGTATGGTCTACCATCTACCAAAAACTCAACTTCGCAATTTTTTTCAGATGACAGCTTTGATAGTCACAAATTGTTGACAGATAATCTTGGAATTTCAAAGCAATGGCTGGTCCAGTATTGAACTTATCTATTCACAGGAGATAAAATAAAGTAGAAGAACGGCCTAAGCATGCATACTGTAATCGTTGCCACCTCACTAGCCAGGCAAATTGTCTAGTGTGCTATGTCAGGTAGAGCCACGAAATAACACAAAGTTATGGGCATGAAAAAAGCCAAACGAATTCGAGTGTTTGTTCGATGGATGGCTGAACAATGGCGGAGAAAATGTCATATGTAAAATTATTAAATTCGAACCCGACGAAATCATATGTTAGATGACAAATAAAGGATATTGGCTATGGTACGTGAAAATTTTGACACTGCTCAAAGCAGCATGCGTATATATAGGCCGCCAAACCGTACAATTCTTCATTCGACCCAATGCGCTTGTTATTGGGTGTGTTGGTGGTAAGTGCTACAGTTTTCTTCATAATTATGTTATCAGAATGAGCAACATTTCAGATTACCTTAGTGCTAAGCACTGTCGCAGAAGACAATGCGAAGACTGCGTCACCGGGTCCGAATGAGCCAGTTATACCTGGCACAGGCGCGCCAGAACTGTTAACCGGAATGCCAGATCACAAGGGAGAATGGATGACAGAGTGGGAGTGGGGGACAGGAGTGTGGCATGGAGGAGTTTCATTGGAACCAGGAAAATATTCCGGAGAACCACTGGGGCCAGAAGGAATTTCTGGAGCACCAATAGGACCAGAAGGATTTTCTGGAGAACCAATAGGACCAGAAGGATTTTCTGGAGAACCATTAGGACCAGGAGGAATTTCTGGAAAACCAGTGAGTCCTGGAAAAATCTCGGGTAAACTGGAGGAAGGAGGTGAAACGGTCACTATGCATGGACCTGTGACAACAGGACCTCCAGGTAAACATGTACCATTGCTCGACATGCAGTGCGATCGTAAGTCACATTCCTACCGTATTCAGAGGTTCTAGGAATGTGCCCTAATAGTGATATGGAGGATGACTTTAGAGTGAAAATAGTAGCAGCGCACAATAAGCTGAGGTAGAAAATTCCGGTCTCCTCATCAGTGGAAAGATTTATCGTGAGTTCAGAGGTCAACTTGCAAATGGGACAGTATGTAACGGTCCAGGTGGTGACGCTTGCATAAAACTGCGAAAGGCAAATAAGATGATGCAAGTGGTAAGTCAAGTTCAGGGAACAAACAGTCTCCGCTAGCGAATTTTTTCAGAAGTACAACTGCGATAGTGAGAAAACTGCTCGTGCAATCCTACCATCATCACCACCCTCCACATGCGATTTCTCAGATTTCCAAGGAAATTTGTATAAAACAGCAGGAGATGTTGCGTTTGGACCGCTCATAGAGCAGGTATGTATGATCAGCCACTGATACTTTTCGATACCCGTCTAACCCTTTGACGATGAGATTTGCGAGCTTTACTTATGAGTACGTGACCATTCACGTCAGCATAGGTTGCTTTCTTGAGTGATACTGATGTAAGCATAATATTCAAAACATCTTAGTTGTTTGGAAAATGCTCACCTTGTTTGAAAGTTCCTTGGGCTTAAAATGTTAGGAAAATTACATAGTCAAAAACTACTACTTATAGACAAGAAAAAAAACTACTTTTTCTGACAAGGGAGGTCCGTAGTCGAAGTGGCCTTTTCAAACAAGTCCTATACTACTTTGAAGAGCACCAAATCTGATTTCATTGGCTGCCGAGCGCTTCTGCACGCCAGGTTATGAACATTTTTTGGTGCAAAAAATGAACGCATAATCTCGGTAAAATTAAATTTTATGGTTTTTTTTAGCGCAAATAGAGCAGTTTTGATTATGGCTATTTTGGAAAGAAGATATTGTTCAAATGGAGTGTGCTCTAATAATTAACATTGGACCTGACAATTCTGGCGGATTTTGTGCCAATCATGCATTCAATTTTCCAATTCAAGAACGCTAATAATTCGACGTCCAGAGGAGCTTGGCAGATAACGAAGACAGATTTGGAATCGGCGTTCGATGCTCTTTTAAGTCGTACCAATTTCGTGTGAAAAGGCCTTTTCGACCAATCAAACCTCCCTTGTGAGACATACTTATTCAATCGGCAATATGCAAATATTCAGGCGACCGTTGAATGGTGGTCACAAATATATGCCAGGAAAATAGATCAGACCCAAAATCTATACTACACACACCTTGGTATTGCAAAGTTTGCGTTGGTAAGTATGAATGCCTAGGAAGAAGCAAATTTGCAATGACTGAAAATTGTTTTTCAATGAACAGATGGCATCCGATCTCACCACCGAAATTGGTTGTGCGCACTTCAAGTGCGGTGCAGACTCATATCTAGCTTGCTCGTACAAGACGTAAGTGTTCTGAAAGTTTTGATCTATCATAAGTGTGGAGGAGGTTATGTTGTCGATAAACGCTGCTGGCACGGGTATCTGCTACAAATTGTGCAACTGTGTACGTAGCAGTCTCTACAGTTGTTCGCGCAGGCAGACTCCATCAATTACATACCGTTTTTTACCCGGTTTCAACACTATATTGACTACTTTGTTAAGGGAACTGGCGAATGCGAAGAAATTGTATAATATGGGTCCTACCTGCAAACAATGTCCGGAAGGATTGGAGTCTTGTGTTGATAGCTTGTGTCCCGTCAAACAACTCGAACCTCCTACAAAGCCACCCGAGGGTTAGTTACAAATATCGTACTTTGATTTGTTGTTATTGAATTTCGTGGAAAACACTCGAAAACAAGGATTCTAGTAGAAGATCGCTGTAAAGCATAAAGTAGAAGTAAATTGCTTCAGTACTAAAACCTACGTGTCCTGACAATGCAGAAGTGCAGGAAGCTTTCAGAAGAGCAATCTGGGGGGTACATAATGAACACAGGTAAATAATCAGCATTTTTGATTCTTGGAAATCACTTTATACCTATAGAGCCGTACTCGCGTTGGGAGGGACCAGAAATGGTAAACGAAGGATTCCGGACATCCTTCTGATGCGAAAAGCAAATCAAATGGGTGAACTGGTAAGTTAAAACAGACAAGGCGTAGACCTTTTGGTCTATCAAGTTTTATACAGAAGTACAACTGCGAGCTGGAGATGAAAGCTCTAGAGAGAGCCAGACAGGGTCCAGCGCAAGCTGATAACTCAGAAGGACTTGTTGAGAATGTCTTTGTCTGGGATAAAAAGAAGATTCCAAAATGGGACAAGCTAGCCAGAAGAGTGCGTTATTATTTACTTTATTTCAACCTTGACTGTTAGTAATTTCAACGTCTGTTGAGTTTTTCAATAAGAATACGCAGCGTACAGCACACACTAATAACACAGTTACGCCCAAAAAAATCCATCATATCATAGAGATTCTCAAAATAATCGTCATTCTCAGTAGTAGCTTAGAATATTTAGGCAGCCTCAATGTGGTGGTCCGAAATCCTCAGACGTGAGACACCCTTCGATCAAGTTCAAAATATTTTCTACACTCATTTGGGGATTACGAGCTTTGCCATGGTAAGTTATAAATACACGCTATTATATAGCTATTTCCCATTTTCTGACAGATGGCGTCCGATCTGACTACAGAACTTGGTTGTGCCCATTTTCCAACTGAAGGGAACATCGTCGTAGTCTGCCATTACCAAACGTTAGTGACTCGGTAAAATTACTTAAAATTTATTCTGCTTTTCAAGAACACTGAAACACGCAACAAAACTCTACAATATGGGTCCGACATGCAAAAAATGCCCACTTGGTATTGATTCTTGTGTGAATGGTTTGTGCCCTACCATAATTCCTCCAAAACCACCGGAGCCAGGTCAGTGAACATACTCCTGCTAGAATTAGCTTGTTCAGATTTAAGAAATTGAAAAAGTTGCTTGAGAACCAGCAAAATGAAAGTTTGTGCCCGATGATTGCTTATTAAGTTCTCGTAAGCTCATGCCCATCCAACACTGAAATGCCCGAAAAATTCCGAAGAGCTATATGGTTAAAACACAATGAGCACAGGTAAAGTCTGGAGCTTACTGGGAAACCTATCAATGCTGAATGTTCGTTTTTGTAGAGCAGTCCTTGCTTTGGGAGCCGCAAGTAATGGTCACGTGAGGGTTCCAGATATCAAGCTTATGAGAAAGGCAAATCAGATGAGCGAGTTGGTAAGCCCTTGCTTGATTCAAGCACTTTCCACTTTTACGTACCACTTTCGTTTGTCTAGAGGTACAATTGCGCACTGGAGACACAAGCTCTGGTGAAGGCAAAGCTGTGCGAAGAAAATCCCACACCAGAGCAGAATCTAAACGCATTTATGTTTGTGCCGAAACCTGCGAGGAAGCACCAACCTACCATTGAAAAGATAGGACGCCGAGTGAGCTTTTTTGATTATGAGTATCCTTCATTATACATGCAAATTCTAAGAGTTGTTCTTTAGGCAGTTTCAAAGTGGTGGTCTGAACTCAAGAAGCTCAATACACCTTTTGATCAGACCCAGAATCTCTACTACGACCACAGTGGAATCCCTTCTTTCGCTAAGGTAATTTGGAGAACACCAGACACTTTTGTGTGAAATTTTCTGAACAGATAGCATCGGATTTGACTACGGAGGTTGGCTGCGCTTACGCCACATGTGGATCAAACACTAACGTAGTTTGTCTATATACAACGTAAGTGGTTTGAAGTGAAAAATAGCTTTTCTTATACCAACGAATTTTAGCACATTGGCGAGCGCCAAAAAGCTTTACAATAACGGACCAACATGCAATAAATGCGCAGGAGGTGTGGGCGTTTGCATGAATGGATTGTGCCCAGTCAATGTGACAATAACAGTAGAAATTGCATAATGCAGTAGTTTTTTTGCCCTATCTATTTGGAGAATAAACAGCACTTTACGCTAGCTACATATATGTTTCAACAGATAAACACACTTCACACAATTCCATCGAGCTACCGTAAGCAGAAGTAAGCGAAAAAAGCCGATAAGAGGCAAAATACCGCCTCACTATGGCATTCATATTCGAATCAAGAAGCCAAATTTTTGTTTTCTAATAAAAAAAATCAGATCAGACATTGAAGTAGTACGTTGACTGAATGCTTCGCTCAAACAAACAGCATTATTATTTTGACAAAGAGCTTCAAAAACAGTAGAAAAGGTTTTAGGCTGCAACTACTATAAAAGCTTCTGACTTAAGGTTTAGAAGACGATACTTATATTTATGGCATGAAGTAGGTACATACAGTTTCTATCGCCCTATTTGTAAGAATAGAAGAGGTGCGGCGTTTTCAACCTGTTCACGAGGTAAGATTGAAAGACTTGCGCGAACAGAAAAGAAAATGAAATCATAGGAACATAAACGGAAGGAAGCTTGCTGCTTTTTACTGTAGAACTTCGAAGAGACTCATTTGCTGTTATTTTTTGTGTTTTTTAGTAATTGCTCCACTTTTTGGTGAAAAAAAAAGTTAAAAAAGAAATGTTGGAATTCAAACTCGAATCACCTGAAGATGAAGTATTACTACTTTGATACTCAGTCTTGTATAACTATAGTCAAGTCTAAAATATTGCCTCATTTCCGCGTATCAAAGTAAATGGCATTAGATTTTACACCCCAAAACACTATTGCAGTCATGATTTACCAAAAAATTTACTCGATTTACCAAGCTCTCAACTATATTTAGCTACTGTGCTAAATTCTGCTAATTCTCCTCGATAAATGCCCTGGCAGGAGCCTGAAGTAATTTTTGCGTCTAAAAAATCTTCTTACTAAATGGTGGGTAGGTTCCAAGGGATCGGACCTGGAATGACCAGCGGAGTCTAGTCGTGTTCAGGTCGTTTGGGATAAAAATAAGGCCTTTTGGTACGACAAGCAGAAGGTGATGGACCCATTAAAGAGTTCCGCAATTCAAAGCTGTTGAGAGCAAGGATTGAAAATCAAATATTCAGAGAATAATACTGCAATAGTGGCATAAGAGCGAACACTTGCTATAGAAAACACCAAATTCAGCTACGAATCGGAACTTTTTATTTCAAAGGCTTTTCAAACTCCACTAAATCTCCATTTCGACGATCTACAAGAACGAGTGTAGCCTGCATCAGCAAAACCGTTACACTAAGCTTACAAGGAAAGTGGATGATTTTGAGAGGTTTCATCTAGATGAGAACGAAATCTCCAACGTTGACAATGGCAAAAATTATCGTTATAACGGCTTGCGAAAATTTCGTACTGTAATTTATCAGATAGCTGGCAAACCCAGCTCCGCTTGGCCCTGTCATTAATAATTTCATCAGCATGCTCACTTACCCCCTTGTGAAACCTTCCAGCCTCGTAGGTAAAACTTCGCAAAAAATCGATGAAACTGGTACTGATCAATAAGGAAAAGTAACCTATGACAAGGTCCCGCCCCGCTCCAAAGTGTATGTGTCCCAAGTTTGATCCGGAATCGTAAGTAAAAATTTCTGTTCGGAACATACGTGCAGACAGACATACAGACAAATAGATATTCAGCTTTATTTATAACATGTTGCTGGTGTGCATAAGAAAGTCTTAAGAGCAGCTTTTCTAAGGATTCCGCAATTCAAACGTTAAAAGCCTTATCACAAAAGCTCTATCACCGCCCACTTCTCGCTTAACCCACAATACTCTGATTTCCTGAGCATGGTATACTCTTCATATTTCATCTGAGTAGCCCAGCCACATCACTGTGATCCGCGGATTACTCAGACGAGTCACCGAAGGTTCTTAGAACGTTTGGGAAAGTTCTGGCGGGTCATCTGCGGAAGTTCTCGTCTTCAACCAGTGTGATGTGAAAATTCTGCGAAATACCCTCAACGTTTCCATTTCTTTAACAGTAGAAAGAATCCTGCGAAGCCTCTACCGATTTCGCTTGTCGTGTGGAGGCTCCGGTGAAATGTCTGAGCGCTGTGCCGCATAATTGTAGGCTACTGCATGATGAAGGCGCAATACCTTCGGGTGCGAACGCGGTATTTTTAGCCGCAGAGCGCATAGGCGCAAAACAACGGTGGATATACGCGCTTGCCGAGTTCGTGCCCGCTTAACTTATACCGCTTCTGCGCTTTCGTCATGCAATAGCCTTTAAGTAAGGCGCAGCAGGCAATAGGGTCCTTTTGCCGTGTTTTGAGCTGGTCAGATTCAGAGGAAAAGAGTGCGCCTTGTGTCTCAAAATTAGGGCACATACTTATTTTCCATTGATTTCTTCTGAAATATCCTTCCTTTGTAACTTGATATGTGTGTTGCACACCATGCGTGCTACTCGATGAACTTCCAAGACTAAAGCCTGTCCTTTTTAGTGGTTTCCTTTATTTCTTTTCTCTTTTGATTTAAATGGATATGTAGCTGGTAGTACACACTCTTACAGTCAGTTACGCAGCTAACGCTTTTACTGAGAAGTAGAAGAAGTACTGTCGGTCGCTGCGCATTATGTGCAGACTCACATATTAATTTACGAATGACTCGACGATACTAGCACAAGCTACTTATCGTCTTGGGAGATCAGAGGGATATCGTTGTTGCGGGATTCGGGATGGAGATTCGAGACAAACCAAACTGCACCCGCAAAAAACAGGAATAACGTCATGAGATAATTCCTCTGGAAAAGTTGGGTATACCTTCTTTGAATTTATTTCTTTTCATTTTTCGTCTTTGGTAAATTTATCTGAAAAGTTGGGTATACCTTCTTTAAATTTATTTCTTTTCATTTTTCGTCTTTGGTAGTAAAATTAGCATGCGCAGGTGGATGAGTATCCTAAGGATGAACAAGATATTCTTCAGTTCACTGCGGATCATACTCATTTTTTTTGTGTGGGAACTCAAGTACACTGCGCAATTCTATATGCTAATCATGCGTCAAATATTTTCAGAAGATGTTATCAATCGGCGAACTTATCGAAAGTGCTTAGCGTTAGTAGATCAGCTGTAACCTTCAAATAAGTTTATATGTAAGCATTATAATTACAAACCAACTACGAAAATGTCAAGATTAGCCAGCGATTGAAGAGATGCATAGTATTTCTAAGTTGACTTTATTTCTTGGTATGTAGGACCTATGCACTAAAGCTTGCCTCAGTGGCAATGATACAGCATCAACGCCTCAGGAAATGTATGTCAAGAGGTGCGGTTCTTGTTTTGAGTCTCAAAAAGTTGTTACCCTCTGCGGACGTTCGCCGAATACGTTTACTCCATGGTCACTCTTTACTTCCCTTCCGCCTTTCTCGCTACTTATCCAAGTGAATAACCCAAAAATTGAAGTAGAAAAAGCGAACTGAAAGGAAGAGGCAAATATTCTACTATAATAATGCAATAAGGTCCGTTTATGGTGAGTCAGTCTGTTAGGTCCACCATACACAAGGACGAGACGATCTGATTCACAGATTTTTTGAAATCGCGCATGAAACGGACATTAGTGCACTGCACGCTCTGCATTAGCAAGCTTGTGGAGAGTACTCTGAGGCGCTGAGATTATAAGTACGCTTTGGGGAAATATTATTTCAGGTGAAATTTCGGAAGATTCTAACATCTTTTTGTTCCATTGTCATCTGAAAACGCTGAAATGAATGCCAATGCGTAATCTTTCTCTCTCAATCATGACATCAAAGTAGGCAACACGTAGAAATCATCTACGGATTTCCATTTATGAGGCAGGTAACTCATTTTTTACGTATCGTAGGATCGTCAACCGCAAGGACTTGTCGTAGACGGAACACACGGCTCGGCTGAAAACAATATTAAGATTTAGTTGACATTTGACCAGTACTGTTGAAGAGCGTAGTTAATTAGCTCACAACTCCTATGTCTGCATATGGCAGTGACAACAAGTTTTTCGTTTGATTTCAAGGGACTAAGGTATGGATTTTGAAGTAGCTTTTCCATATAATATGCACACTATGTATCTTGAAGAGCATGAAACGCTGACTTCGATTTTGCCTTTGGTATCTGCAGAACGACTATGAGAGAGGAGTTACGAGAATTTTTTGAGGTAAAAATAGCTAGGGTAAAAAAGTTTTTGAAATTTTTCCATCGCCTGAAAGGAGCAGTGAAAAGCATTTGTTTGTCAGACTAAAGATATTTATTGCATGCAGTGCACTAGGGTCAGAATCGCACTAATTTTGATCACGGAGTATGATTTCGAAAGATTTTTACGTGGCCGCGATTTTGAAATCCCTAAGAAACTCCCATAGCTCCTCTCGCAAAAGCGCTTTGCAAGTATCGAAGACAGATTTGAAATCAGCATTTCATGCGCTGCAAAGTAAATAGTACACATCTTATATGGAAAGGTTACCTCGACTGTGTATCCTCCTTGTTAGACACGGTGTACGCTAGGCAACGATCTTGGATCACTCATAATAGACAAGTCGATGGGGGGTAGCCAACATGGATTATGCCAGCCACAGATCATCACATTTTCTCAAATCTTATATTTACGTCAAGATGATATTTGAAGATTTGGAAAACGTTGGGAGCTTCACAGACCCTATAACCTACATTTCCATCCTTTCTCCAAGACAGCAAAGAGCTTATCTTCAAAAGTACAGGTTTGTGTAAGATTTATTGACAACCGCAGATGTACAGAATAACAATTTTAACCTATCGTTTACTGTGGCATACACCTCAAATTGATGCCTGTTCACCGTGGTTACACAAACAGAAATACGTATTGGCTTTTTGAGCTGAGAAATGTTCTTCTGTTGTATGGGCCGTATATTTCAATCGCGATCGTCTAATCACAAACTGTCTTCTATATGAAAATAACGTTTTGAGAAGGACAGTGGTTTTTGAAGGGGGAGGGCGAAGAAAACATACAGCACGTAAGATGGGAAAGCTGGCCTCATCCCTGACTGGCGAGGAACCCGGTAACTTGTGGATTTTTCACTAGGTAAGGTATGGCAAATTTTTTGGAATAGCTGGTTATTATGAGAA